CTAACCAGTTGTATGATTTACCTTCTTCTTTGTCCCCTTTAGGTTCAGTGAAAGTCAGCTCACATTTTGAAGCCTGAAATCAGAACAGTCAATAACCGTTTTGTGATAATCAGTGTCAGTCAATGAAATGTTTCTTTTCTTTTCCTGCATCTGGAGCAAACTCGTATGCATGTACCTGCTGGCGAAAGGAGGCAGACAGGCCGTGCAAAGGAGAATAAGTTCTACTCACAGAGGAAACATTTGATAAAACTTATTTCATGATCAATTATTTTACCCTTGAGATTACAGAAGGTTTGGTTTTACAAAGCACCCTTTACATCAGTATCATAAATAACCACTTACCATTTCCTCACTTGTCGTTTGAATTTTTACACCCTCTACATCATATTCACTGATGTGCTCCTGACCAGTATGGTTGCTGCATAAGAACTCTGGCCACTTTGAATCATTAAGTGAGGGAGCTAACTCAATACTTGAGATGTTTCCTTCACTTTTACAGTGTTTTGCACTGGACTTCATTCTTCCTTCGACGTCTCTAAGATCTGTGAAAGAGGACACTCGACGAACAGGAAATACTGCTGAGGACTTGGAAACCAAACGTGAACTATGATGAAAAAAGTAAATAAGGAAACACCACAAATAAGTTTGAGATTTGACACGCCCACAAGGAGTGGAACCACAGACATATTCCATCAAGCATATTCCAAGATTCAGTACAAGCTATTCTAAGGACAACCCCGTTTTCCCACCAAAACGGGACAATTAGTGATATTTTATACTAAATATGTTCCTTTCTTTGATATTGACAATTTCTCGTTCTACTTTCATCTTTTGAAATAAGAAGAATATGAAGCGCCCCAAATAGCTGCGACAAGAAAACGCCACGGCGCTTAATTAAGTAAATGTTGACGCCTCTGAATTCTTCTTTGGAAATCATTCCCGGTATCGGAAAGTAAGGAGAATCTAGAAGCATCAGGTCAGTTTCCCGTTTTTATTTTTATATATCGTATTTTCCTATCTCTGCACACGGGCACGGTAACGCTTTCGTGAGTAACCGAGTGCATTCCTTCCCCCGTTGCCATTTTCATAAATTTATCTCGTTTTTCCGGCTGGGCAGCATTTTTATGCGAAGACGTTGGTCACTACCTGTGTAATTAAATTGGTTGACAGGCGGCCTAAAAACTGTCTGTAATTAATTGAAATCTTTCACAAAGAGTACCTCAACAATCAAAACGTGAGGTATTTGGTTACAATTGAATTAGTCGATGGAACTTTCATTCATTCAATATCTGAATTCTCTCAAAGAATTTGTTCGTAGTGAAAGGGCGAGCGAAGTTTTCAGTTCTACTACAAACACGCTTTCGGTGAGTCTTTTCAAGTCAGTTCAATTTAGACAATTGTTCCGTAAACTGGACAACAGAAACTAAATGAATTCAGCGAGAAAAAGCCGCATTAAACCCACTTGTGTCAAGTTTAAGTTTCTTATTCAAGACGACGGAGGAAAGACGCAGATTTATACACGCCATTGCAGCAAGCAAACTCTCACAACTTAAAAATAAAAAATTTGAATTTACTTACAAATACTTTCCTTGCCATTTACTTACTGCGCAGAGGTAAATCTTCGAACATTAATTAATCGTCGATGAGAGCGAATAATACTTTTCGTAAAATCACTGACTGTTTTTTATGAAAACATTGTCGTGACAGTCCTTGCCAAACTAGTTCCGCTGTTTTTTCAAAGATGCACGTGCGCTTTTTTTTCATACGCGCTCTCTAATTGACAGGTGTCAGATTGCGACAGATACTTGTAAAAATGATGTTTCAAATTTCGTTTGGAAGCCTTTTAAATAACCTTTATCATTACGCAAATGAAAATGTTTCGGTGAAGCCTCTCCCTTAAGTTTGTATTACCTCTATTTTAACGACCATTAACTCGCTCAAAAATTTGTCAGTTTATGAAGATCTTGTCGTAAATACAGCCCTAAATCATTAGGGTTTTTTTTAGAAAGAATTTCGTTAAGTTTGAAAAAAATAAAAATGTTATTCACTGGCCTACGGCCTCGGGCAGTACTGAAGACCTCGGGCATAGTTTTCCCAATACGGACCTCCCGGCTGGCGAATAACGTACATTTATTGTTCAAAGATCGGCTGTACAAGCCACATTGGAGGATCTCAGGGTTTGAGGGAGGGAGGGGGGTGGGTGATGGTTTTCACGGCTGAATATTATTTTCTCTTCGTTCCTATTAGCAGAATAATTTTTACTGTTATCTTTTTTTTAACGAGTGACAGTTAAAATTTGTTAATTTACACCTAACGGCTAATTTTTTGGCCGTTTTATGGCTATCGGTTATCTCCATGAGACCCTCACAGTACAGCACGATGGAATACACATCGCAGTTTACCCATAATGCCTGAACAGACCTTAAGAAGTGACAGACTTCATTATCCTCTTTGGAGTCCACTCTCACTGACTCAGTTTCATCCGCTGTGAGGTTCTCTGCTAAAATGATAAATAAAAAAGAACATAAAGTCGCTTCAGGGTCACTCTTCAGTTGGGTCAATGAAAACTGTAGGTGGACCATGAATAAGGTATCAGCCAAAAAAAAGAGACGTGAGATCGAAATCCAAGGAGTGCGACCGAGTTATGTCAAGAAATGTCAGTTTATTTTAAATATATTTTCAATCCCTCTCAGCAAAATCAACCTAATAAAGAAGGTTGACAAATTCACGCCACAAAGTCAAAAAGGCAGATAACTTTCAGACACCCTAAAGACTTTTGAAAATAGGCGTGCCGAATCTGTTTAAGTTCACACGAATACGACGCATTTCCCTGTGTAGAATATCTCTTGTTTTCAAATAAAATTTTTCAAGTAACAATTTTTCCCTTCCACACTCCCCTTTTTACCCTTTTTGTATCCACGCGCGGCGCGCGTGATTTCACAAATTAGCCAATCACGTCAAAGACCTCTAACCTTGACACTGGAAAAACTGACGTGGACATTTATGCTTACTTCTGTTGTTTGTTTTTACGGAGTTTAACTAGTTGTTTTGAGCTTTACGCAAAATTTTGCTACCCCTTCATTGGAAGAAGTTTCGGAATTCTTGTCTTAGCCAAATGTCGTGGTTCATTTAACAATTTTAGACACATTTCCTACGGAGTTTGGACTCTAGCCTAATTTTCGGTGAATGGATTTTTTACACCCTCTAAGAATCTTCCTGAGTTGTGTCTATCTATTCCTCTCTTGGTTTTCATCTGAATCTTTGTAAGTCTCTAAGGCCATAAATACGGCAACTGGAATTGTCTGAATTTACCATAGCGTTTTGTCGTCCATTTGACGGTGGAAGAGAACCTTTTAAGTCCCTTGCGTTATCGGCGATACCTAGCAAGTTTCAAGGTATAAAGCCGAATTTTTAAAAACATTCTCTTACCGGATTGAGCGTTCCTCTTCAATTCGTCGGAAGATCCACTTGAAACTGCAGACTTACCATAGATGAAAGGAAGTAAATTAAGAAAAACGGCCTCAATGGCTGTTTCAAAAACAATACATGTCCAGAAATATTTTATCATTTTCATTCGAATGTGAACATCCCCAAAACGTTTGCTCTGGGTTCTTCTTGAAATACTACGCCTATTCACATACGATTACCTTGGAGTTGTTTTCTTCCGCTTTGCTGTCCTGTTTACGTGGCACTTCAGACCCAACTTCCTCCGACATCATTTCTTGGTCAAGTTTTTCTTACATCAGAAGCATACTATTACCTAACACTGTAAAATAGTCTGTTTCTTAAAACATCACTTCAAAATCTACGCAACAAAACAATAAAAAAACTCGAGAAAATGCAATGAAGTGCTCATAAAATAAAACTATGGCAAAAATTCTGGTTGTAAACAAACCATGGCTTTGCGATGTGCCTTAGAGCCTTCAAGATGCAGGGTTGAAAAAAAATATAGGCAGTTCTAAAGCAAAGATACTTTAAAATGCTTAAGAAAAAAGCGAGGTCAGATCTCGGTTTGGCCCGGACAGTCGCTGCAGTCTTAAAACGACCACAAAGCGAATCAGGTCAAAGCAAAGCGCAAACCATTAGCTTACCTCTGATGTTATCACCTCTCTGACAGTTCTTGAAATCCATAATAACATAAAGTCTTTTTTTGTTTCCCGAATTCACTTAGTACCTAGAAAACATCGTTGAACTTTCCATGACGAAGGGCATTATGACGCAACAACCGCAAACTTTACAGAAAATCCACTGACCAGCACTGAGTTGAACAGTGACTCGCTTTGCTCCCAGTTACATTTGCCTCGGTTTCAAAACGAGTTACGGAGCACAATCATTCATTATTCCACAAAGAAGCATTTTCTTACGTACACTGTAGCACACAAAACCGAAGGAGAATGTAGTATACTCAGGTGTTCATCCGTTGAGTATGATTCGATCACCAACGCACGCGCTCACGCCAGATTCTACGAATCGCCTTTTTGTGTTGCTTTCTCGTTTGTTTTTCACTATTTTTGCAAGAGGAGCCTGAGTGCGATGAAACTATAATATCGACGGCCTGTAAAATGTCAGAGTGTTGTCACAAGCATGGAGGTTGACAGAGAAAATGAGTTCCCACCCAGCATTCGCATTGTTTGGCTTTTGTTAACGTGCTCTCAGCTTACACACACGACAAAATTTTAAAACTATTGAAAATGATTAGAATTGATTCATACTTATAGATGTGCGTGCAACATTTGTTATTTTTGCCTCGATAAGGCAATGTAGCCTGATTACCAATAACCTCTCACGATAACCCTAACGCGATATCTAAAAGCTGTAACACGTAAAAACTTTTCACGCGTGCTTTTGTCCTTGAACATGAGCGCACGGTCTTAACGGTCTACCTAACTAGAGGCATACTCTGTCTTCTCTGAGACGGCAGATAACTGGAGAGTACTAGTAGCTTGGAGATAAACGGAAATACTTTAAAAGATGAAAAGAAGTTTTTTATTTGAATCGCATACATACAACAAAAAGGGGAATGACTAAGGATAACAAGCAAGTTTACATTTACAAATAAAATAATTCAAAGCCTAGTTGAAGGCTTCTGTTGTGCTAACAATATGACCTGTCATAAATTCTGTATCCTTTCAATAAATGATATTTTACGCGCTAAAGTTAACCCATACAGATATCCATCAAAATAAAACACTTACTTACCCGCTTGTCCATCAAACACTTACGTTTCTACGTATCAACCAGTTATGTGTTTAGGAAGATTTGAAATCTGTTCTTTGATACTGTAAAACTCCCTGATAAAAGTTGTATCAGAGACGTGATGTGTGCGTATTGCCATGGTTTCATATCCCAAATAATACAGGGGAAGGGACATTTGATCGTCTAGTTTGATATTTTACGTCTGTTCTCATAGCAACCCCAATGTCCCAGGAGTAAATGTTCCATAATGTTCCATTATGTCCCAATCGGTCTATGGGGAAAGAGTGTTGAATTATTCAGTACGATACTAAGGCAATTGAGATTTTTTTTTTTCGGGTCTAAAGTTTGAACAAAAAAGACTTCTTAGATTGAGATGCACGAGTTCTTACCCAAAGAGGACTGGGGAGGAGGTAGAGGGATGGTAATGTTAGCTATTCTCAATTAATCGTTGAGCTGGAGGTTTCTTTGCAATGTCCGTTCGATTTTAAGAAGCCGGCGTGTGACTCTTTCCACCTTTTCTACAGGAAGCTAAAAATTTTCCCTTCGATAATTTTCTTAATCACAAAAATGAAAACTACAATTTACTTCGTACAACATCACGCCAACAACAGCACGGAAAGGTAAATCCTAATAATGTTCCTTTGTCCCCCTACATTCTCTTCCCGCTTAAAGCGAGGCTAGGCTTCTTAAAATAACTTAGCTGGCTACAAGGCTTTTTGTTTTCTGTCTCGTTGATAGATTTTCAGATGCATCCGGGCTGTGCGAGGGGACTGGAGGTAACTTGGGAAGTTCCGTGTCCGAACCAGGCCTTTGAGCTACCCTAGATGAAGTCGAGTGGTACTGGTAACCCGCAGCGGAGCCCGAATCTAAAAAGGAGAAAAACATAACCCACCTGTTGAAGACTCTTGTCATATGATATGAACATAATATATGGCCGAGCTCCTAAACAAGTTCTCTGTAATTCAGTTGGTGATGCATTCCCCCGTGTAAGCGAAACTGGTCAGAGCTCAAATTCTCTCAAGAATCACTTTTGAACTACATTGTATTGTCATAAACTGAGTGCACTGAGGGCCTAAATGAGTTTCATCTCAGGCTCATTTATAGCAAAACGATCAGTTCGGCAAGTTTGACAATACCTTTTTCCCCGATATCGAGGCTCTCTAATTCTCGTTCCAGTTCCTCCATCTCATCCGGTCCTATCCCAGATGCCTCAGAAAGTCGTCGCACATTACCTGAAATGAAGATGAAAATGAACTTTTTGGGTATTGTAAAATTAAACAAAACAGGTTGATACTGACATGATGAAAGAGGGAAAAGCAGAAGTTAACAAGAAATACGATCGAAATCAAATTAATTTAACAGCTTATCATAAAAAAGGCAAGTCAATCAGGAGAAAAAGAGAACTTGGCGTATACAATTCTAAACGAACACCACCACTTATTGGTATTTACAAGCGCAAAAATCGTAAAAGTCTAAGACACGATTTTGTCGAAGTTTACATCTCATTGTTGAGCAAAACCAGTGAAACGCTGGATTGCTCTGGAAATCCAAAGGAAAAAGTTATTCCTCAGTATAGACTATGAGCAGTCCCTCCTTTTCGATGAAGTCCGTCAAGCGAGTCAAAAGAAAAAAAATATCCGAGGAAAAAAAATTGACGTATGCGCGCCGCGTGGAACTCTGGGAGTGAGGCGCACTTAAAGTAAGGACTCCAAACTAGGAAAGAGAGCCGTTTTACCTCCGCACGGCTGGGTGACTTTTCGTGCCCCTCACTCCCAGAGTTCTGCGCGGCGCGCTAACATTAATATTTTTCTCACTGATTTCTTTTGCCTCGTGGAGTGCCCACTCAAAGAAGCGAGAAATATAGAGCAATTCGGTTCACCTCACCTTCCAATATCGCTGAATTTATGTCTTGAGATTCATTTATTCCCTGCATCAAAGAAATTCAAACAGACACTTATACGTGTTCTTTCTCAGTCCCAATGCAACATTTAAATGCGTCACTACAGATGGGATACATGTCTACATTTCGAACCCATGTATAAACGCTGTTGAGCTGATTCATAAATGAACAACAGCTCGGAATCGGTTGACTTTCATCATTTACTCCCTTTATGTGACGATTTCTTACATATTTTACCGCCCTCCTTATCTTTGCTGTTTGATGTTGGCAGTATCAAGCTCTAAGCAGCTGGAATTATAGAATTATGAGCTGCTTTGTGCCAATGATCTTCACCTCGAGCTATTTTTTAAAAACGGGGGCCAGGGGGGTTAAAATCTACTCCACTCAACAGTTCTTGAATTTATTACATCTATTTTGAAATCACTGCTGATCCTTACAATCTGATTGGCTCTCACAGGTGCAATTTAACCACAAATCACACCATTTATTGCTCTAGATTACCTCTTTACTTCAACACAACAACAACTTATCATATTTCGAGGCTTGTTTAATGCAACCAATCAAATTGCAAGGGAAAAAAACAATTTTTGCAACTTTCTACAAACCAGCTCAGTACTGGATCAATAAAATATTTGCACAAACTTAAAAATTCTGTATTTGAATCATTGAATTTTGTAATTGCAAAGTCAGGTGGATGTGATTGAACTGAGTGGTTTTGAAATCACTTACAATTATGATTTCAGACCAAAATTGCACTCCACTCAGTTCAATTTCCATTATAAATGTACAATGCATTCAGTATGCTGGTGGAGTGATATGGGCAAATGCTCAAAACATCAACTTTAGAAACTCTTTACAGTGGTCAGTTTACTTTATCAACTCAGAAGATAAAATGAAACAGTCTTGTAATACCCCCCTTCCCTCCCAACTGACACAGAACCAGTTTCTCTAGAAACTTTTCCCCTAAATGGTATAATTTATAATTTATCTGTTATGTCAGATTCTTTTTCTGAAAAAGGAAACCTGAAATGGACTCACTTCATTAAGGTCATCAATTACATCCTCGACTTTTTCAATTGTCATGCCTGAATGTGCCCCCTTCAGTGCTGCTGTTCCTGCCTTCAAAGCCTCGATAACCTAACAAGAGATAGAAAATGCAAACTTGGGAGATTTACAAAGGCACAAAAAAAGATTATAAGCCCTAAAAAATTCAAGCCATTGCTGTTGTCAATGTGTAAGACACTATAGCCTTTGTACACTGTACATCTTCCCATCATGTTTTATAAAGGGGGGACCAAGCCAACAACATTTTACCAGAGTTCACTGACAGTTTGCTGGTACTCCACCCTTGTTCCAATAATCCCTCACGACCCCTCCCCCCTTGGAGAAAGAGAGGGGGTAAGAATAATTATGAGGAATGCTGGGAATGAGGGTCAGCACAAGTAATCTGTTAATTAATTCTGACAAACTAATGAACCTGCAACAGACTATAGAGTAACATGCAATCCAAAGGAAGTGGCAATACTTTCGGTCAGTTGACACTGCATTGTGTAATAAGCCCAAGATACAATTCTGCGCTATGAATGGCTTGGCCTAAATGTAAGACTTACACTTTTATATAAAGGGAACAATAATACAGTTTCACATAAAGCCTTACATTCTGTATGCCAACCTTAAGGTATTCATTATCATATTACTAAAATGTGCAAAGCAGTCATTTCTCACCAATCTATCTGTGTGCGCATTTTGGATTCTATGTAAAATTTCTTCAAATGACTGCAAGTCTGCAATTGCCTTGTCCAATGTTCGTTTTCTTAGTTCCTTTCTGCGAAGCAGTTTTAGGGCCTGTTATGCAAAATAAACACACCTTAGAAAGTGGTTTTTATATTTTTAAGTTGTATGATGATTGACAGACTGACAGACTGGCTGACTGACTGACTGACTGAGTGATGGACCAAAAGACTAATTGACTGCTTAACAGACAGACTGACTGACTGACGAACAAATAGACACACTGATTGACTAAATGAAACAATGACTGACATACAGAGTCCACACTACAGCAACTTACTAAAACACTCAAACTATCTGGCAGTTTTGCATGTAGCAAATGAAAAAATCAGAAGTGTCTTAAATGAAGGTTTGTACCCACCTTTGTTCTAGAACCTTCCTTTGCAAAACCAGCTGCTTGTAATCTACAACTTCAAGAATAAAGATAATAATAATTTTTAATACACATCACAAATCACAGTCCCTGCTATGTACAAGATCACAGAAAAGTAAATGACAACAATTCATTCATCACCTTTCAACTTCATCTGACAGTTTATTTACTTGAAGAGTTAGGCTGGCCACTGTCTTCCGGAGCCTAGAGATAATAGATTGAAATGCATCTGAAGTAAACACAGGCTCAAATGCAAAGGTACAGATTTTTTTAAAACAGTATTTTAAAATCATATTCTTTCACTAATATATACAGGTGTATATAAACATAATCACATATTATATAATTATGTAATTTTGAGAACACCTTACAATAATGCAATGGATACAAATGGCAGGACTCAAAAGGAACAAACAGTTGCACTGGATCAATAGGGATCTTAAAGGCTCACCAAGATTTATTTCATTAACTAATACCCATTCACACCAGCAAAATAAGTTTAGTTAAACTGTGTTAAATTGAATGAAAATCTGAAAAACAGAGACTTGAATCACAGAATTTTCCAAAAGGTTTGTGTAATCAGTAACTTGTATTTTCAGTGTCCTAAATTTGAAGTCAACAAAAATTGGTTTAAGCAGCTTCTTTGAAGAAAACAATTTCAAACTGTGTTTCACCCTTTAAATTCCAGAAGTGATTAACATATAACCTCTTCCTGTAACATCCATACAATATCCCATAAACAGGTAATGAGAATACTTATACTGATCAGGTTGAAATTAAAAATATTCAGTGTGTAGCCAGGCATATTAAAAACTTTGGTAAAAAGAATAAAAAAAGTTGACACTGTTCAAAAAATGTTTTTTTTTTGGATGTTTCAGCTACTACAGTAACTGTTGCCTTCTTCAGCAAAGATAAAAATGCAAAATAATGTTTAACGGTGTCCTGCTTGGTATATGTTTCAACATCAAGGTTACTCACAAGCCTATCCCCTCCATCTCAAGCATACTTTAAAAGCCAAAAGACAAAAAGAGAGGCATCGTGTACAAGATCAAATGTAAAGACTGTGATTGTGTTTACACTGGTCAGACAGCGCACACACTAAAAACAAGCACAAAAGAACATACAAAGGCCATAGCAACATTGGATGAAAATTCTTTGTTGGCCAAACACCATATACTTGCATTTTCATCTTTTCTGAAGAAGGCAACAGTAGTAACCAAAATGTCAGTGGTAACTTTTTTTACATTCCTTTTTCCAAATGATCAGGTTGAAGTTTTTATCTTGATCTAACACCAAATTCTCATAACTTATTAGCAAGAAATTGTGTATTAGCTAAAAGGGAGAATCAACAATGAGATCTTAGGATTTAAAGGGTTGATGAAACAGCTTTTGAACATTTCTGTGAATGGGAAATAAATAACATTTAATAGTTACTGCAAACTTCTTAAGGGTATTTTAGAAAAACAAGAATAGACATCTAACCTCACAATATCAACATCATTGTCAGAAACTGCTGTCACCTTCTCTTCACCTTTTCTTGCAAACTTGATAACCTACAAAAATTGTCAATTAGTTGTCATAATAAGAATCTAATGACAGACAGTTAGGAGAATTACTAGTGAGATCTTGGGAGTTAAAGGTTTAAATTGGGGTGTAAAGGACCACAATATATTTTACACCTCTGCTTTTTTTTCCTTTGACTCCAAGGCTGGTCTATTATCCAATGAAAACATGGTTTGAAGTTTCAAATACAGTCCAGTAACAAATTTTATTACGTCCTATTTATGAAATGAAAGCTTTTATATCAAAAAATCACAGTCAAAAGCCACTAAAAGGAAAATTTAAAGTTAGTGGTTTGTGATACATAGGCTGTCCTCAATCACAGGCAACCTATTCACACCAAAATAATGAACTCACACGTAATCTTTGTCCAAACTTTTCTTCATAAACCCCTTGATTGAGTAGCAAAGTTATATCTTGTACATCAATAGTTCAATGAGTATTATTCAGTGCACATTACATGACAAGCCCCAGTGATATAAGTATTATCCACTCTCATGAATTCTGAAGCACCACAGATACCTACCTTCTCTCCTTCAGGTGTAACATATACAACTGCTTTACCATGCTGTTGTAAATATGCCAAAAGAACTTCGAGGGTTTCATCATCAAACTTCTTACAACGCATTTTCATCACATTCCATGGTATAACATGGTCTGTTGTTTCACATTGCACGCCTGCGTAATGTTTGGTGAGAAGCCATTCTGCATTTTCCTTCAGACAAAGAAATCACAACAAAATTGTTAAGTTTGCATCGTGTGAAATTTAACATTTAAAATCTGAAAAGAAAAGGGACACTTTGGAGTTTAATTCAACTTAAAGATGTCCCTGGAAAGTTATCAGTAACTAAGTCTCTTTAATACTTAAATAAACTAAATTCCAAAGGACAGAAGATGAGGGAGGGGGTGTGGGTAATGAAAAGTTTGCAAAGAGCAGGGAGGGTTCTGAAGTAAGAGAGTTTCCCTCCCACCACTGCCAGCCAGGTTTCCTTCTCAATCCTGGCATCATATGTAGATTGAATTTGTTATGGGTTCTTGTCTTTGCTCTGTTGATTTTTCTGTGAGTTTTCCAGTTCTTAAATTATAATTTGACCTTGAAAAAGTGGCAGAGCCTGATCCTATAAATGTCCTGTGCAAAATTGCATCTATTATGTGTCAGTTTGTTATTGCTATCAAAAGGAAATCATCATCATCATCATCATCTAGAAGGTGCATTTTTGGCTACCCTACTGAATGCAAAGGCCTAATAGCAAGCTGACAATAAAATGTTTGGTTTTCAGCTGGGAGAATTAACTTTAAACCATGGTGATTGCTGTGTTGTAACCGTAATCTCAAATTCATTTTACATACATTTTATTAATTTTAACTCTAATAAGGTACTTTTAGGATCAAGAGCCACTAGTGCATCAGTTGAATTTCTGTTATGTGTTACCCTCCTTAAATAAAGTTGTTATTATTATTACTATACAATAGACCCTATACATGTTTACATCTAAAGACTCAATAATTATTACTATTACAACCCCAAGCCTCACTTGGTGAAGACTGATGAGTTTTAATGAGAAAGTACTCCTATCAAACTGAAACCAAAAGAATACCCACATAGACACAACAAGAAATTGGCAAAGATTCACGAAAAGTTTAGTGTAAATAAGGCATGGGAGTGATTTTTCAATAAATGATGTCATCATGCACAAGAACTATTTTAAAAACAACTCATATATACTTAAAATTCTAAATTAAAAGTGAAAACAGTCATTAATAAAATAATAACCTGGCCACAAAAGAGATGGAATAAAAGAGGGAGAAGGCTAAAAATTGGTGGCTTCTGCCATCAAATCTTATCCACAATGGAAGACACTTTTCAAAAGGTTAGGTTACTCAGGGTATTAAAATTTTCTGATTTTCTAGTAAGCAGCCAAGCTCAGAGAGTGATTCTGTTAGAATCTTTTAACATTTTTAACACACACCAGTTAAATCTTGTCAGCAGTTTCAACTATTTGTACAAGAGTCTCTCCTTTTCCTTGATGCATAAGCTCTCAAAATTTTTTCACAGAAGATACAAATTTTTTGTTATCAAGAGTCAGTAATTAGCATGCCCTATTAGCAATTGTCAATTATAGACCATTCCCAGGGGGTGATGCATAAAGTGTTTTCTATGGGAATTTGGTAAATATTTCTGACTATCACAGTATCTGTTAACTGCACCACCACATTTCATACGCTCGGACACAAGGTAGTCAGACACACATATACAATTTTTTACCTGCATGGAGCAAAATATGTGTTTTTGTTATTCAGTGCTACAAGTTTCCTCTGTGTTACATTGTTGTGTGTAACAAAAAACTTTTGAGTTTGAAAAAGCGATAAGTCAACATCAGAAAATTTACACAATGAAAAAAGCTACCTTATTACACACGAACACGTTGTATTGCTTTGCAAATTTATTGAATAACGAGCAGCAGCAGTAGATATGCTTGATTTTATGTCAGTGTTGACGACTCAGAAGGAAAAGGAGTTTTCCTAGTTGGGTTTTCCTTTTCCTGTTTTTCTTGTTCATGTCAAGGTTATGGCAAAAGAAGTAATTAACTGAATAAAAAAATCATATCAAGGATGGGCTACAGTCACAACAGCTTTCAGTAAGACTCTGGGGGGAGGGAGGGAAGGGGGGGTCCAGGCAACGGATCTGGGACAAGTAAACTCTGGTTGATATCTGGAATTTGTAAACTTTAATACTCCAAGTAAATGTAATCTATACCTTTGCTGCATCGACTAAAACGAATTTATCATCCAGATTTACGGCATCATCGCTTCCCATTACAGTATGGACACCCCACCAAAAAGATCTCTTCGCCAATCCAAAAGACCACGACATCCAGCCATCGTTATTAAAGTTCATAAAATCCTGTTTTCGTACAAGCTTTCCTTGCTGAATCATTTGTTTCAGTACAATGCGAAGCCCGAGCGGTGTCAAACTGTTTCGCGTAAACCGACATTTCAAGGTCGCCAAATTAATAAAAATATCTTCGTGGTGTTCACAGTTTTCCAGAATTGCTTTACTCCAAAAATTCAGCTTAGAGTCCCAGTGTTTTGGGTTCACCTCTCTGCTCTCAGGAAAAGCGGAAAACATAAAATTCATTCGATCATTGTCTTCCCAATCTGCTGGTAAACATTCTGTCTCGGAGTCCGCCATTTTAACGTTGTGATAGCTAGCTTCCAGGTCCCCCTCTCAAACTTTTTTGCGTGAAGCGATTTGCGTGATTTGATTTTTACATAATTCGTGAATTAAAATTGATAAAGACATTTCATGTCCATGTGAACTAATTTTTTTATTTCAACGTGACGCGTGAATGAAGACCTGAATAAAACGTGATTCGTGAACCATTTTGTTTTTGATAAAAGTCATAAAACAGACCACAACGGTTCTTGATCAACAAAGATAGGACATTACGTCATCTTTTGTCGCATAAGACTGGTCAAGACCAGAAAAAGTAAAATATTAATTCGTGCATTTTGTTTTTTATTTCGATATGAAACGAGATCGTCTCAAGTTTCGCATGGACGTGAAATAATTTTGAATATTATTCGCAACATGTAAGGGCCAAATATCTTTGTGACTGAGTTTTGGGACCTTCACCTGTAGGTTCAGCCACTTCCGAGTGGGCGCGGTTCAGTGATCTGGTACCGGAATTAGGCGAGGTTAAGTGCGAAGTCGCTCTCATCGGTACAAAGAATCAGGTAAATGCCGTTGTGGTGGAATTGAGAAAAAAATTCTCAAAATTTAGTGTGGGCTCATGGTGTGGGAGAGTGAAAAATTATTTAGGGGAGAGAGGCATTCAGCTGAGTGATTTTTATCACCGTGGCACTAATTCCTCGCGCCGCAATTTCGGCACCATATCACTGAACAGCGAGAACTCGGAAGTGGCCTATTCATTCTTCGATAATGCGTAGACTATACCGTTCGAGTACGATGAGCTACAATCCAAGACACATAGCTTTGTAAATACTTCTTACTAACCGAGTTTGAGGTCCGTTCTGTAGGTTAAGGACCGGGGTTTTTTTTCTGCTCGATAATATGGCCCAGGCGCGCTTCGCAAAAGACATAAATTCGAGCGTAAAAAGCGTTTCCGCAACTTACAGTATGGACTTTCTTAGAGGGTAGGACTTAATTTCCGTGATTATTTTATAAAATATATCAGGCTTATCAGGTGCTCTTTAATTTCTCGAAATTAGAACCACCGAAGCGCACTCAGCACCCCGTGAGAACTTGAAAATAAGTTTAAATTAGGAGTAAAACCAAAAAGGCGTCCCACAGTTGCGATTAGTAGTTACGGAAGGCAACAGCGGCGGTGATTTACACATTTTCACAAAATTTGAGTCATTTCTACTTCGACCCCTCGATTGAATCCTAATAGGACTGATGGACACAAATTTATTGAATTTTGAAAGTTCGTTCTCTCTTTGTAAGTGTTCATGGCTGGTTATGCTATTAGTGAAAATGGGGCATAGTATTAGCGTCCTGTGCTAGAAAACTACAGCAGGTGGTTTTTCCTTTCAGATAATTAAAGGAAACTATTGATTAGCGCATGACAGGCGAGAGGTAAACACAGGCGATATGCTGATTAATATACGATAAGGAAGAAGGGCATTGTAAAAGCTATATAGAAAATGCGGTTATCTTTTCATCAGAGTTTTCGTTACTAAAACACAACTTGGCTCCATTTACTTATCAAACATGACAGTATTTTTTTTGTGAATAGCAAATGATAATTAGTTGGATTTCAACCGGCCAAAGTAGTCGCCGTATTTATTGCGGGTTTAACCTTTTTTAGCCGCTGCCGTGAGTTTCAAGGTTATCATTGTGTTTTTCTGATTTAAGACATTTAACACCGTGCGATGGAAAAAAAAAGGAACTTGATCTAAACGTACGTACAATTAAAAATTAAGGTAACCGTGCAGGTGTACGCAAATGATAAAGTATTCTAATTAGTTACGAATTTACACGAACATGACATAAATCAGATGTAATGTCATGTCACAATGACTTGACGCCACATCAGCCACCCACATTAGTGTTGAATGACGAAAACAACTTCAGTGACAACATCAGTTCCATCGGAAATTGACATTTTGTTGTGTAGTGGGATATGAAATTATCTTTCACGGAGGGTTAAGTGAGCGAATTAAGTTTTTCTTTTGCTATGATCGGTAAGTCTACCCCAAATAGTCTAGCAAATTCAGACTGAGACGCAAATGAGGCTAACTTCTATTTATGAACTAAACTTTTTGGGGGTAAACAGAGAGAGAGTTTTCACATTTGAAATTCATATTTTGCTTCGACGTGCTAAACATAAGTTATCGTGTTTACAGAGATTTTGAGTTAGCCAACGAACCGAGGCCAAGACAAAACCAGCTCAGGGGCCGAATCCGAACGATGACTGGCCCAAGAATTCTTGGATACGCAATTTTGTGGCAAGTTCATCTTTTCAGCCAAGTTTTCGGTATGTAGTGAGATCTAATTTCGAACGCCATGCCCTTCTACAGAGAGTAATTATCTAACTGATAACACAAGACCTGACAGTTTCATGTGCGACAGACGTATCTTCATGTTTGATATTCGGTTAGAATTTGCTAACTCAGAAAAACGATAACAGGCCAGCACGTTCGCTTCACTAATGATTCGCAATGCTTGTAACAATACACCTGCACTGACCTTACTTTACTTACATTTTAAAACTAAATATTCCAAATGGTTCTTTTTATCATCAAAAACCTCAGTGTTGTATAACAGAGCTCGAGATAGCTTGTAAATAGTCATATTTACTCAGCCTTTTCATGAATTAAAGTCTTAAAAAATTCAGGATGAACTTATCAAGGCAAATTTCAAAATGCTATTTCAAATTTAGATTTTAAGTCACGACCATAGCTTGAGCAAATATCTAACAACCTCTCTACATTACGCTCCCCCTGACCAAATGTTTCGCTTATTATCCGTGTTGATGAACATTATTTGTGCTCTTTTGAAAGCGTACATAAATCGTTCATAGGTCGAAACACACTTCTTAAGATACCAAACCATCATCAAATAAAATAAAAGGTAAATACAGAATCGAACATAGGTTTGGCGGGATGCGGGATAAAGCTTAAAATCGAGGCGGGGTGTGGGATCGGAGACTTTTTCGTTGTGTGATCGGCTGGAGAATTTATCTATGTAATAGGACAGTTTTACTTTAGGTCCTTTCGTGGGTGGAGTTTTTGTCCCGCTTAAACACTGTTATATACTGTTTTTTTTAGCCAAATATGCGTTAAGCAAGTCTTTACTTTTCTGCATAATGAGAGTACATTATCAACATTGTAAAGGCTATAATTTCTCCGTCAGTTGGCGGTGAACTCGAGCAACTTGGTTTGAACCCGGCGGGATCGGGATAAAAATGTTCCTCGCGGTGGGATGCGGGATTACAAAAGTATATTTTAAACCCTCTAAATAAAAGGACAAAAAAATAGCACAGAGGAAAAAATAACTTGATAAAAAGAACAGTTATGGTCCCGAACGGGGAAGAACATCGCGACAGTGGGCCTGCAAAAAACCTGCTCCGTGAAAAGCGCAATATCCGTCATTATTTTGGGACGAATTTTGCTTAAAATGGCCTGGTACTGAAATATAAAAATTTTTTACGATTTTTTTAATCATGAAGGGGCTCAATGATGTCATATAAAAATAACTCTGTCAACTTTCTTTCTCGTATAGCGCGCAATTAAACTTTACGAAAAATATATTGTCGATAAAAGTATTTGTTTAACTCTCTAAGTGGTTGTAAGGTCTTCATCACGTATTACATTTTGCGAATATTAGATTCAGGGACGGATATGCACACAGCGTTTCCTGGTTTCAGTAAATAAGTTACGATCGCAGAAATGAATACTAAATTAATTTACTGCCTTTGTGTTTCTTTGAAATACAATTGCTATAAGGCTAAGGTGCGATTGAAAATAATAGATCCAGACAATTCAGGAAAAGCGGGAGTGAAACTTGCGAGATCTTATATTCAATATGTTATCATAACACGTTGAAAGAAAAAAAAATTGGCGAAAATGAGTGGCTAACTTGCCTAGGATGTTTACGTTCGTCAAGTTAAAAAAAAAAAATTACAATTGCCTCGATTGGGATTGGTTTAAAAAACTCCTACTTTCCAGTAATTCGCTTGCCAAGTTGTTATCGGACAGTTTATCGGACAGTTCAATAAGCCGATCACATTCAAAGTTGTAGGTTAAATCAACCAATCACAACCTTGGTTTCAATGACCAAAGAAACAGTACCCAGACTCCTAAATTGGGGATTTTTTAAAAATGGAGAGTTTTTTTTTTGCTTGAGCAATTGTCATTTTTATGATTAATTGGCGATAGTAACAAATCGATTTTGTTATTACTCGTATGATTTTCGACCGAATTGGACTCCACTGGGTCCCATTGCCATACTGGTTTTCGAAGCATGAGCGCTATCTAGATGAATTTTTTCTGATATCAAAAAATAATCTTTTATGAAAGTGTCAGAGTACTTTTTTCTCTATTTGAATATGTTCCTTGTAGATCAGTCTTATTGTGATGTAGCTGGCTGTAAGACTCAACCGCTAGTAATGTTAGGCCGTCGTTGATGGCGGAATCTTACCTACTTCACATCGTCGTCGACATCTGTTGAGGTTGGGCGAGAAGATTTCTCAAAGTTTACCAACCAGTCCCTCTCTCAAACTATTTAGCGTCATAAATCCCCCCTTACGATCATCATCACTGATCAACAGATACAAAAACCTGTTTACAATAAAAATAGAGGATATTACGTGGCCGCTTGGGGATACGAATTTTATCTTTTCGTGAAAATCGAGAGAACTCGTGAGAGATACTTTCAGCACGAGAAGATAAAATTCGTATCCCTAAACAGCCATGTAATGTTCTGTTTATTTTATAGATACTGATGAAATTCCTAAGGAGAAATAAAGACAATATTACTTATATTTTCTGTCCCAAACAGTCAAAATTCTTATAAAGAAGAGAAAAAGAACCGGCCACGCGCCTGAGCGGGAAGCTCTTTTGTAATTGGCTGATCATGTTAGTAACCATGGCGACACCAATATCCTCGCCCGTGAAAAAAAGGATCTTTACTGCGCGCGATGAAGATATAATTTTTTAGTAAAAGGTAAAATCTTGGTACGTCATCAGTATCTATATAATAATAGGTTTTCCTTAGTCGCTAAGAAATATGTAGTAGTTTATAGAATGTACCAATTGCAAACTCGTGTCAACTCTAATAATTTTCAATGGTAGTTGTTGCAGACATTCAGCAACTTCAAATGGATGGAGATGTTATTTTTGGCGGACTTTTCCCCGTTCACAAGAGAAGTACTGTAACCGAGAATAAATGTGGTGAAATAGATCCACAGCCTGGATTCCAATATTTGGCTGCTATGCTGTTTGCTCTCCGAAAAATCAATCATGACACCGAATTGCTGCAGAACATCACTATCGGAGCGAAGATATTCGACACATGCCGAAGTCAGACGATTGCAGCGGACCGTGCAAAGGACATCATTAAATACACGCTTTTGGATGAACCGAAACCTCTCGTTGGAGTTATTGGTCCTTTCAAAAGCGATGTTTCCATAGCAGTGGCGAATCTGTTGCGAGTTTTTGAAATTCCTCAAATAAGTTATGGCTCGTCGAGCGTGGAGTTAAGTGACAAGGAACTTTATAGGAATTTTTTTAGGACGGTGCCTCCTGACTCCTTTCAAGCTCAAGCTCTGGCGGATGTCCTTCGACATTATGGCTGGACGTACGTTCACACGATCAATTCGCACGGAAATTACGGCAGAAAAGGAATGAACATATTTCACAGGGTCGCTCGGCAATCTGGTATCTGTACAGCAGAAGTTGAAAGTCTCCCCAGCTTTCCAACTAAAGCAAATTATATGTCTGCTGTTCGAAAGATATCACGACACAAAACTGGTCATGCTCACGTGATTGTGCTATTTACAACCCAGACTGACTCGGCTGGTTTGCTCCGTGCAGCTAAGGAGTCTGGTGTACAAGGTCTTACGTGGCTTGGAAGCAGTGGCTGGAACAATCGTATTGACGTCACTGAGGGCAACGAAGAAATAGCCAATGGCTCTCTTACAGTTGGACACGGTGATGGAATCGTAAATGAATTCTCGGATTTCTTGATAAACCTAAACAATACCCTGGGAGGAACTACTTCTCCAAAAGCAAACAATTCATGGTTCGAAGAAGTTGTGAAATCTGTTTTGAATTGTGAGACTAGAAATTCGGCAGCTCACTCGCTTACACCATGCAAGAGCAACCTGTCACTACCGCGTGATATAGAACTTGCGCCAGTTCGTGTCGTTGTAAACGCGGTTTACGCTATGGCGCATGCTCTTGACGACATGCAAAGAGATCTTTGCCCAGAGCAGACTGGAATTTGCCAGCCAATGAGAGAAAGACTGAAAAAAAGAAGTCTCATGGATTACTTGAAGAATGTAACATTCCCAGACTCATCGTTTAACATGAGTTTGAAATTTAATGAGAACCAAGAAATGGATGGTATCTATAGCGTTTTAAATTTCCAACAAAGGAGAGATGGCTCATGGAAATATGTCCGCGTTGGGGCATGGAATTATCTTGTAAATTCTACCAAAGACATAAAAGGTGAACTGAGGATTGATGATGCTCTTATCTCATGGGGAAATGTCATAACACGTCCACCTTATTCATACTGCAGTGACTCCTGTACCTTAAAGCAAATAACAAAGCCCAAAGCCCTCAACCCGAAATGTTGTTGGAACTGTGTATCCTGTGAAGTTAATGAAGCGATCATAAACAACACTTGCAAAGCGTGTGACCTTGGTTACAAACCAGACTCGAGTTTACAGAGGTGTGTAAAACTTGAACTTTCTCATCTTCAGTGGAATGATCCGATATCAACTTCACTAAGGTTACTCGCGGGATTCTGGATCTTCATTGCCATAGGAACGTTTGCGTTCTACGTCATTAAACGCCATGACAGTGTGATTAAGGCAGCGGGAAGGGAACTATCTTTTTTCATATTCATCGGAATCGTTTTGTGTTATACGGCTTCCTTTGTTTGTTTGGCCAAGCCTACCGATTTTATATGCGCACTTCGTCGTTTCATTGGAAGTACGTGCTTCACCGTTTGCTACGCGCCATTACTAATGAAAACAAATCGTATTTATCGTATATTTAACCATGCCAGGCACTCAGCAGCGAGACCGTCTTTAATAAGGCCCATGTCCCAGGTCCTCATCTCCTTGGGGCTCATTGCAGTACAGCTTCTGGTTACCACAATATGGACTCTTTCGGACCCACCAAACGCCACCGTGATTTACCATTCGCCTCTAGAAGCCTCGCTCATTTGTAACGTTAGCGGCCTTAGTCTTGCTGTTAACATGTCCTATAACCTACTCCTAATGTTCCTTTGCACTGTGTATGCCTTCAAAACTCGAAGTTTTCCCAGAAATTTCAACGAAGCAAAACACATAGGTATCACGTTGTACATAACGTGTTCTTTATGGATCATATTTTTACCAACGTACTTCAACGCAGGAGCGTCTTCTTGGAGGGATTACGTTTATTGCAGCCTCTTCATTTTGGTCGGCTGTGTTAGCCTTGTAGGACTGCTGCTTCCTAAGGTTGCCATTATTGTCCTAGCTAAACTATCCAGAGAAAGAGTCCATATAACTGATGATTTGTTTGAAGAAAAAAATGAGTCAACCACTGATTCGTCGAAAAAAACAACCACCTTTCTAAGTCTTGGTTCTTCTTCACCATTGCCAAACACCAACACAAGACGGCTAAATCCCACGAGAATAACGCAAGACAGTGATGCATTCGTTATGAACTGAATAGCAGGTTACTATGGTTACTAAGAACAGTAATTTACTACCTTAACTACTGAGAGAAAAATGAGAAAATTCTTTGATTAATCAAAAGGTGAATTTTTTGGGGGTAAGAAACTGAATCAATAACCGTTACAGTTACATTTTGCGTATTTAAACGTTTCAAGTCAATTTAGAACTGATCAATACAGTCCTTCCAGACAAAATGGATTTCGTAAGGCACAGAACAGAGCTCATCTCTCTGTTTGTATTTTCTAAGTTTACTTTTAATCAGTTTCTTACTAATGCATGTCATCTTCAAACTTGTGACTGCATAAATTCCGTACTGCCTTACGTAAAAGTAAACTGTTTCGAATGGATTCTCGATTGAAACCGCCCAGTAAGTGCCTATCGGCAAAATGTTTCAAACAACTGTAACTTAACTTAAGTCCTCCATCAAATTGAAGTGCATTTGATCAATTCGTCAACTTAAGAATTATGCGCATATCATTTTAAACTGTTTGCCTAAGTATTTCCATGGTGATATAATTTATCAACTAAAGTTTATTAATTTTCTATAGGTCGGCGTTGGATTATATTACGTATCACTAAAATGCATTATTTAATAGGGTACTTGTAATCATTGATGACGTTTAATTCTAATTAACATGACATAATTAAAATATTTGGGTCAGCTTTCCTTACTTTATGCCGAGTTACTGAAAACCGATATTTATTAAATATCCCAGCTGTCACAAAAATCTATCTTTCACGAGCGGTGAAAGATACCAGCAGTGTTTCTCACTATTATTATTAATTTATTTGGATTTTTATTTTAATGGAAGCGGAAAATTAAGACAAAGAACAATTTTTTTTTTCCGCATTCAATCAAATAGGTTGGCTTTATATGTTGGTGCAGATCAGTGCAGTGTGAAGTGAGTGTTTTGGAGCGCTGGTTGCGTTGAATTCAGATATGAAGAGAGTGTTGTTGCTCCTTATTTTTGCTGTCAATAATGTGGCAGTTACATCGTATATATTTGAAACGCCAGAAGTAGCAAGACAAGGTAAAAATCTTCTTTTTTCTTGTCTTTTTTTTTTTTTTTGTCAAACGCTTGCACGATTGACAGCTTTGGTGCATGAGTAACCTTTCCACGTATAGCAAAAGCAGAAAACTCTAAGTTTGCACGAGGCTCGTGCATCCTAATTTTTTTTTTTCGGATACCTTTGTCGAGGATTTTTCCATTCAATTCTATGATGGCCATTAATCCTTCCGCTTCACTTCCAATATCTGAAACCAACCTCTCCCAACGGATGTAAACTCGTTACTTTGTTGCGAATAACTGAGAATTCGGTTTTTCCATCAAAACACTCTATCTCAATATCAGTCGATAAAATTGTTTAACATCCAGTCCATGCGACAATGCGGTGAGATAGCGAGGCGATTTAAGTGAAATGGTTAAACAGCTGTCGATGCAGCAAGTTACTAAAACGACTAAACATGCATTATGTGTTTAATATAAAATGCTACTCAACACACGGGGGCTTTCATATCCCAACAGAGCATTTCGTCAAAAAGTCATCTGTACAGGGAAAATTTTAATGGCTACAACTAAAACTTTTATCATCATTTCGAAATAATATTATTTGAGATAGCGAAGATGATGAAACATGTAGTGGACTACGTCATGTCAATGGCTTTTCCCTTTACTTGAACTTTTGAATTTCAAACAAGACAAAGAAGTAATCAAAGGGCGTATCGGTTGGTTGATCTCATTCAGAGAAAGCGGAATTTTTTCAGGCCCCCAGGGATGGAAGCATGAGTCTTTTCTTCTCTCAAACCGGAAAAAATAACCCCAATTTGACCACAATATCCTTAAATCATGACCGACTGAATATTTTTGCGATACTCTAAAACGTTTCACTCATGCAGTAAGATATCTTTCAATGTGTTTGTAATGGTTTGTCGGTGATGTTAGTTTGAGTTCTCGTCAGGACTCAACTGTACGAATGCGAATTTACCCTTCTTAAAGATTTCAGGGGATTACCTTTTCTCTGTCATCACTGTAATAACCAGCCCAATTAAATTAACTCCGACACCTTTTCTTCAAACTACTAACTTAATAGTTCTGTATATAAAGTCACAGCCCAGAAGTCTGGTTAAATACAGATGGTCAGGTTGCCTTGCGCATCTGACCGCATAACAGATATCAGTTTTCTCTTTTAGTGAACGTCAAACATGCAGTTGTGCAGGGTTTGGTCCAGTTTCTTTTTCTTTCGTTTGTTTTCCAATCTATTTATGAGCCAGTCGCGGATCAAAATTTTTTAAAATCTTAAGAATAAGTGAGTTGGTGGCTGGAGAAAGTGTAACTTTGTTAGTTGGAACATAAACACATATACATGAAGGTTTTGAATGAACTAACTTGCTCCCCATCCGAGCTGAGTCTTCGCGATAAGCAAGTCCTGTTTTTGAAACTGTCCTTTAGATCAACAACAAAAACAAAACAAAAGAAAACAGGCAAACAAACAAACAACAAACAAAAAAAATTATGAGAAACGAGTAATATAATGGTGGAACTCCGCTGCTGTTTACATAACGAAAATTTATTGCATGACAATATCTTATTTTGATGACGTACAATTTCCAACTCGGAAAAAAGCTCAGGATGTGAAACGTCAAACGAAATTCTCTTCAAGACAAAAGTCTGCTGACACAGATAATTTTTTCAGTAAATAAGATTGAAATTGTATAATTTTTTTAAAAAAATTTCAAGCGTTTCAAATGACTATGAGATAATTGAGCCGGAAAATGGTTAGAGTTCTAAAATGTAATTGCAAAAAAAATACATAAATAAACACTAAGAAAGTGCGTCATTTAATCAATGCATTACGCCTCGTTTTTAAGTGTACTTTGCGTTTATCACAAGGGGCAGTGACGTTATCAAAAGCTCAGGAAGGGCATGAACTTTTGAACGGTCGCGAAAACCTTGTACAGTTCGGCTAGCCTTTATATCGTACTTCTGGAACGTAAATGAAAGTCTCTATATTCCGTGCCGCTGACTTCCTGAGTCAACTTAACAAACCCCGAGTGTCCCGGTGTTATTTACTTTCTCGTAAACACCGAGTAACTAGGTATGAACACTGATTGTTGCCAACAAAACCAGAGAAATAGCACAAGACAAAAGAAAGTATTTTTTTCCGCGTTGAAGTATTGAATATATTAGAAGAATCGGACCTACGTGATATTAGTTTATTTAGGCAACGGTTTTATTTACTAATACACACATGAACTGAGTTGTGTTGCTTGCTCTACCGGCTGTCAACCGTATGGCAGCCATTACGTTTATAGATAGAGCATGAGATCTGACCAGTCGAGGTACCGACACAATTAAGTGGCGTAACATGCAAATATCCATAGAAATAGATGTGCACTTCGCTATTGGAGCTATTTCACAGACACCAAGAGAATATCAATAAAGCAGGCACTTTACCGACATGACGGCACATAATTAGTTTAGATAAATCGAAGGAGGCCTGTTAAAACTGCTCATTAAACGCGTAAACGCAAGGGCAGTTTACTATTAAAATGGTCGAGGAACTGAATGCGGTACATCCAGAGCCACACCGGGAGTAGTCTAGAAAAAGTGTTAGCTGGACTCGAACTTGCGGGACCACCGGAACGAGGGCCTGCGGATAATAACTTCTCAAAGAATGGCATTTTTTTTTACTTATTCCATAACACCGAGAGAAAAACAGAAAGTGATTTTTTAATCAATTTCATCACAGAAGCTCCAAGACAAAACTGGTAGTTTCGGATACGTTTGCACGTGCTGACAGTAAGACTCTAATTACGCAAAGTCTGACGACTTTTCCGGAATCATTTGCCACCAGGAAATGTATTGAGCCTTCGTACGATACCCCACTAGAGCATGAAAGTCTTATTGGTGTCGTTAACAAAAATCCACAGATGAATAAAACAATAGATCAGAGGATTGGAAGTTATTCAAATTGGATTCATCCTTTCAAGAATCTTGAATTTTGTTATGGTTTTCTAATTCAACCGATATTATGAAATAAGGAAGCCATTTTTCATATTTTTGAAATTCAGTAATAAACCTTTGCAGTTTCTTTGGTTTAATTAGCGTTTTTTATACTTTCAAGAGATATATATGCCAAACTATCGTTTGAGTGTTCATTCATCAACCAAAATATGTTAATTGGAAACCACAAAAGAAATGGACAAATATTTATCAAAACCTGCTCTATTGGACATGCCTGATTCCTCGATTTAGTATACCATTTTGAGAAGAAGATTCGCCTGATATTGTGGAAACATTTGACGCTGATCAACGTCAATAAAGACTTTTGCGTGATGCTATTTACAGAGTAACAGTATTTTCATCCATGTATTGATTGAAGCCACTCAAGCGGATATCACTCATAAAGTCACCTCAGTCGTTAGATAAATAGCAAAATTCCACTTCTAATTTCTTCAAAAAATTAATCATTTGCCAAAGGTGCCATCATTTTTTTGATAATGGAGTTGTCTTGCAGTGATTTACCCAAAAGTAAATTTTACATGTTGCAGAAGTCCTAAATTTTCCAGCGTTAGTAAATGCAATTTACCTTCGCGAACTCGTTATACAGACTACAGAGATTATATATCCTTTCATTTATTTACATATCAGAGATCAAATCCACATGATTCACTTCATATACACTCATATGCATTTTTATCCCTATTTCATGGAAGAGCTAGATGACATACTAGTCTGACTGGACGTATTATTTAGTTTACATGACACAAGCACCAATGCCCCAAACGTAGTTAGGGCCTCCTTAACCCTGGAGCTTTAACTGAGGCCCTCAACGAAAGATAAAATATTATTTCTATTAATTGAGTTATGGTTGAAATAGTGATACCAGCGTAAATCATGATCAGTTTGATGCAGCTAATCTTTAGGCATGCAACTTAGAAAATTTTCATCAAATCCAGAACGCACAAATCCAAGTTGGTCCTTTACCATAAATGTAATTAAGAGCTAACTGGAAATCTAGGGATTACTGATAACAGCCTCATCGAGAACATGTTTGTCTGAAAGGGCAATTTTCATCGGTGCTAATTTTAGATGTGATCATCCACGAGTATCAAATTTATGCCAAAGCTATTCAAAGTCAAGGTTATAGAGTTCTTAAGGTAAAAAAACTATTGATAAACAAAGCAAAGCTAAAACTGCAAATAGGAACAAAACTTCATTACATAGCATTGCGGAATATTCTGTCACCATCATTTGGCCTCAGTTTTCCAATTTTCACACCACGCTTATGTCATGCAAATTTGGATTTCAATAAAATAACTAAGGGATGACGAGAAAAAGAACGATGTACTGATAGAGCGGAATGAGTGGATGGATAGATAGAAAGCTAGATAGATAGATAGAAAGCTAGATAGATAGATAGAAAGCTAGATAGATAGATAGAAAGCTAGATAGATAAATAGATAGATAGATAGATAGACTAGTGAATGGATGAATCAAATAATTGGAGCTCATACTTCTGATCTTCCAATTGTTCACCCACCAAAGACGTTGCAATAACTATAATGACCATGATTGCCTTCACATATTCAAGTTTCTCCCCTTTTTTTATGAACAATCAAGATATAGGAACCGATGCTGTCAGAGACGAGCGAGCTGATCCACTTGGAGATCGGGCTGAATTTCTCTTTGATGGTCCATCTGGTGAGGGTCCGAGCGAAGCTTCAGGAGGTAAGAAAGATGAAGCCCCAGTCTAATGGTCATGGTAGTCGATGAAATTTCAAACTATCCCATACAATATAAGGAAGAAAATCGTGATTTCCATCAGTTTACAGGTACCACAGAGGTAGAAAAAGCTTTTTTCGGGCGCTGATTGGCCACCTCGGAGGTGTTTGGGAAGTACTATTCACCTCCGAACTGGTAACCGAACAGACAAAGTCGAGAGTCAAGAATCTAGTTTCTGACCACTTTCTGCGGTTAATTGACAGAAATAAGCGCAGTGCTTTGGTTCTAGTATGGCATCTATCATCATTTATCTCTACTTAGCTGAATAGTTGTTAACTGCTATAGAAAACCGTGTAGTTTGGACTGGATCATGATATAGTGCAAGCTTATTTTTTTTCGGACACAGGTTTTCTTTAGACGGCCGTAGTGCGTAATGAAGGCCTCAAAAGTAGTCATCCGGTGGAAGAATATAGTTTAGATAAGAAATAATTTAAGATTTTGACATGAATTGTTTTTTTTTCTCTTTTTCAGTTTCCCCGCCGGACGACGACGGTGAGTGCCACTCATTTCATTAGATTAAGCCCCTAAAGAATTATATTTATCTCTTCATTAACATTTTGCAACACCGGTTTATTTTGTATAGAGGTCATTGTTACTTGTGGACAAAACGAGATGTCCATCAGCATTCCAAAGAGCGTTCTTAATGGCCTGGACGTGGAACATATTCGTCTTACTAATGAAAGCTGTGGAGCTACAGAGAATCCAGCTCGCGACCGCTATATTCTTGAGACGGACCTGACAGCATGTGGTACAACAAAAAGCCACATCGAGGATTTCGTGACTTACATGAATACCGTGGAGGAGATTCCCGTGGAGGATGATCAGATAATCACTCGTGTCCGTGAAGTGGAGATACCTTTCACCTGCGCTTACTCAGATACGGGAGTCGTGTCCGCCGTTGGTCTGCAAGTGGAGAGCAAAAAAATTGTTTTCTCCGAGAAAGGATTGGGAGAGTTCGTACTGGAGATGAATATTTTCCCAGATGATTCATATGAACGTCAATACACAAAGCGAGATTTTCCAGTAACCGTGCCGTTGAGGAAAATTTTGTTCGTGCAAGTGAGCGTGGACACAGAGGATTCGCGGCTTGCGATTTTAGCAGAAACGTGTTTTGCCACACCCGATGCCAATCCCAATAAACCTGGATTGAAATACGTATTCATCAAAGATGGGTATGAATAACTTGTTGTCACTTTTTTTCACCCCTGATAGCTTTAGACTTGGCCTCTCATGCAGCCTTCGTTCAGGCTCCTAACGTAACATGCATGCTCCATGGAGATATAGGTTATGTGACGAGCCTAAACGCCGAATTCAAAGGAGTCACTCAACTCTTCTCTGAGAGAAGAGAGGGACATTTTCCTATTAATCATTCTGTTCCTTTAATCCTCGCTTTGCAGTAACTGGCTGTTCTGACATGTTTAGTGCAATATCTCATTTCAATTTCAATACTCACTCTTTCACTTAATAGCTGATCACCATTCAAGGCATTACTACCTTAGTTAAGCAATTGTCACATTTACATGGGCTCAGCAATGTATGGTGATACCGTTTCTTGTTTTTAGGTTATCCGCATATGAAACGTTTTCAATATTCAGTTTTGAACGGCTTTGTTTATAAAGCTGCTCTCTAGAAAATAACTAAATTCTGCCCCGCAGAAAACATTTCTAAGAAGCTATATGACAGTAAGATAACCAGAAATGCAGAATTTCTTGGAGATATCGTTTGACCACTCCTCAAAGCTCCACTGCCACGCAACCCTATCATCAGACCTCAGAAGGCGTCAGTTTCAAGAGATTGACAATATGTCTTCCTTTACAGATGTTCCGAAGACGACACCTTGGAGCGCAGGCAATCAAATGATAAAAGAAGGGAAAGGTTTAGCCTGGAAGCGTTCAAGTTCCTGGGTAATAATCCGTTTGTTTACATGCACTGCAAGGTCAAGGTATGTGACGCAGACGATCCCAACTCACGCTGCGCACAAGGCTGTCTGCGTAACTCAAGGCGAAGGAGGTCGCTGTACACTCAGGAAACGAATGATGAGGAGTATCTATTGGCCCAGGGACCTTTCATGCGGGGAGCAGAGAAAAGCGATGAAACAGAGTCCCAGGTGGACATCGAACTGCATGAGATTGAAAACAGCAGTAAGTTTTCCTTTACAAAAGCATTAGAGGGCACCGTAGTGTCTAATAAAAACAAAGTTTCAAAGTTTCATAAGGTAGATCAGCTTTTCATTTTACCTCGGCGGGAAAAAAGGGTTGCCCAGGAAATAGCGTGCGCTAATGGGTACTGCGCTAGACTTCCATATAGAGAAGCTCTAGTTCGAACCCTCCTTGAGTCGTTTTGGCGGCTTCTTGTGAAAAGCATCTTACACTCACCATACCTCTCTCCAGTCACGTTTACATGAGTACGGGGAATGGTTAGGGGAACGTTTAAAAGAAGATTATTAGTGGCATTGAAAGATCTTGCAGATGAAAGGGAAAGGAATTTTAGCAGCAGTTGAACAAGCCTTGATTTCTCTGTCTCTGTCTCTCTCCCGTTCCAATGACACTTCCCACACCATGTCTTTCTCTAATTCAAAACCTTGAATCAAATTTAAAGGGACGAGCTTTTCTGTTAACAAATAATGAAAAATATCCTTTTCCAGGTCAATTCACCCCTCTTGTTGCCGCTATGGCTGTTTTTGCTGCTGTCTGTGTTATGGGTGTGTCGTACTTCGCCTGGAACTTGAAGAGGAAGCGCGGAGTTGTTCGCAGTTATCAGCTCCTCAGTACCACTCCTGACGAGTGACAACTTCGACTGGGAGGAGCCATAAAGTCGAGATTAATACCTTCATTAAGAATTTTTATAACCGCTACACTACTTTGACTTTTTAAATTCAATTAGTTTGTATCAAGGAGCATTTTTTTTTAAGAAGAAAAGAACGAGAAATCTCATGTGCGCGACGTTAGAATATTGCCAGTAGGAGTGAATGAATTTTACCTTTTCGTGTTATAAAGTAGTTTGCTTTATAAGAACTAAGGTTATGTTATTCTTTCAGAATTTAATCACCACACAGCAAACCGAAAAGTTTGGCTGATCATTATGTCACTTAGCACGTTATACCATGTTTTTAAATAGGTGATAGTAACATGAGTTTCTTATGAAATAAATCAGGCTCAACCTGCTGACGATGGTTGACGATTTGATCCTTTCACGTTACATAAAGTTTTTACGCGTTTGTTCTGTGATACAACAGTCAACTCTCTCGAAGCGGATTTTATGTCATGCATGAAACTTGCATCAACTTCAATTTGTGACTTGCTTTTAAAAGACACGGGGGGTAACAGCTTAATTCATAAGTCGAGCATCATTAAAATCACTAATAATAAACCTGAAAATCATACTGCATAAAATGGCACAATTTGACATCGAGTTTTTCTTCATCCACTGGATAGAGATTTTTCTTGTCGATAGCGTTATCCGACCTTCGAACAACCGGAGCCAGATCAACAAGGCATTATCTCTAGGTCTCTCTTCAACATGTTTGTCAAGTAAACAAATGTAAACAGCGTGGCATTAAAAATAACAACACGGAAGGAATCTTAAGTTGCCTACAGATTTTAGGCTGCCAACAACTGGATTTTCCTTCTCTTATTTTTATCACCACATACAGCAGCACCACCACCGACATCGCGTAGATTGATAAAATGTATATAGCAATGTAAAGGTTTGGAAGGGAAGGGTTTAAGCTTTCATATTCTGGGAGAGAATTAAAAAGATTTAGCCGGGGTTAACTGCAATTTATAACCCCCCGCCCCCCCTCCGATACAAGCCCATCTACTCATAAACAAAATAAAAAATACATCCAGTCATAAGCTCCCCCACCGGGTATAAGCCCCCTCATAGCTTTTCTTTTTTGAGAGATAGGAACTCTTTACTACTTCAAACAGGAAATTTGAGACAATATTGTGGAACAATGAGTTGCTGTACCTCTTTTTCATTATCAAAGATGAACTTCCTGGGAAAAGTCTGGTCCTCCGTTTTGTTATGGTCCAGTTTTGTCGTGCTAGTTTTAATTCTGTTCCAATGTATTTAAATGGATTCGAGTTATTATGATATTTTGAAACATAACAAAAAGCCAGTAAATGCAAGAACTATTTTGATCAGCACTTCTAGGGCTCGTTTCAAAGCATTTTTTCTATTTCCGTTGGTGACAACCCTCGAATATAAGACCTCCTGGTGCTCCCTACGAAGTTGTATAAGCACAAGGCTTGTAAGCTGAAGTTCACGGTATGTCCACACGTTTCGAAATAAATGAAAGGAAGTACACTTCACACAGACATAAAACCAAGTTACAATAATTTCAGCGTTACTCTTTGTGGGACCGTTACCAAAACTTGGCGTACTGCACGAGACAAAATATCGTCCTTTAAGTTACAACTTCTCATGGTGATCTCATATTTATACATCAGAGGTGGAAGGGGAGTGGAAGCAACGGATATCATCTGATAACTGTCCCTGTCTCCTAGACGATTTGCTGACGAAATTTGTATTGCATTTGTATCGCAAAGTCAAACTTAAAAAAACGGTAAATTATCTGAAGTTGTTCATGAGGTCTGGTCTTTCGGGTAAGAGTAGTCAATGACTGACGCTTCAACAACCTTGGCGGAAGGTTTCGTCAAAGTTAAACGCAATTAAAAAAAAGATTATGGAAGTCTCACCAAAAATATATAGAAAAGAAACAGAAATAACGGGTATAGAAAAGAGGTACCCTTTTATTGCGGTGTGAGTATCACTGTTGCTCTTGTCATTCCACAGGCTTACAGCAGTTTGTAAGACACTATCAATATGGACCTAACACTATGCTCTGTATGTCGATATAGAGAGATATGCAATATAATTATTATATAGTGTTATTTTGCCATATGAAGAGTTCTAAGCTACCTTAAAGATGAAAAAAACTTTGCGCCTGCTCTAGGTCCGATTCACAATGCCTCATACAATTTTGAGAATCTGTAAAATTTCTGTTGATCGTAAAAATGGCATCGCAGTTCCTGTTTGTCTACACTGCGTTAACAATACTCCACTTAAACAAAAGCCATTCCTTTGTCACAAAAGACAGCACTCAGATAACCAATAAGTTTTTTTAATGCCTCTCTTTAGTAAAAAATAATTATAATGGTCAAGGCTGAGTCGATTTTCCTGTCCACAAAAAGTAATGTACTGCGATAGGAATGTCACTACCTCAACTGTAAGGACCAACGCTATAACAACTAAATCTTACAAGCTTAACGTAAAACAGTTTAACAACCCTTACTGGTAGTAACAAGCAAAATTTCCACAAAAAAGTGTCAAAATAATTTTGAATCTGTCAGTTTAATTTCACTTCATTCTAGCGTGAACCTGTGTGGAACAAGAACAACTCCCGAGTGTTTTATTTCGTTCCACTGCCATACAGTTTATTCCACTGAATGTATAAGTCGAGATCTTTCTCGGAAACACTCGCGCGTACTTGATGCAAAGCCTCGTCAAAATCTTTGAACAGAATCGGTCGAACCTGGAATCAATAGATTACGTTTACTTGATGTAATTCAACGGAAGTAAGAATAACCTTAACCCTTTACCTTCCATGAGTGACCAAGACAGAATTTCTCCTTACAATATCAATACAATATCGTCCAGATAATTGGTGAGAATAAAGAAAAATATCAATTTGGGGATAATTAGTTGATCCAATACTAAATTCTCTGAACTAACATTATAAGAATTGTATGGTCGACAGTAAGGAGAATTACAAATTTGATCTGGAAGTTTAAGGGTTAAGAAAGCAGAGTATGTAGGTTTGTTGGCAATCTTAAAGATCATCGAGTCCTCCGTTTTACAAATAGATTCAACATCTGTACAGAGAGCTGTAGTTCGCTTATTGTTAAGGAAGACAAAAACGGCCCAGCGCAAATGATTCCATTCAGATTTAACCATTGACTTTGTCTTTTGTTCATGAACGGGGTAAAACTTCATTTCAGACATTCATCGATAGCTGATTATAGCAATATGCGGGAGGCTTGTCAAATGATCAAGTTCTCTATCGCCCCTAAGGTGGACAATTTAACCAACAAATTTGAAATATAGTTCAAATATGGTTAGGATTTGAATCCTCTTGGAGGACTCAGATTGTTCTTCATTCCAAGCTCGTAACACATGTTTAAAATCGTTCGTTGCCTATCGCTGTGTAGCCTATACTGCGCGTGTGCATGAGCTAGTGATGACTTCGTATAAATGAAATGACTGTATGCTCTGTAAAATGCGATGCAAGAACTAGAGGGGTGGTGTAAGATTGGACAGGGCACCATTCATGTCAAAACTGACGAAGGTTTAATTCATACCTGATCAGCGTCAATACACTGAATATCAGTGATACTTCTGATTGGCCCAAGAGCAGCTTCTCGACAAAGATTCGCCATATCTGAGCCTGAATATCCTAAAAAAAAAAAGCGCATCATAAGAACTAGAGATCAGTAGAGACATGGATTCCTTCCTGGATGTAAAATGACTATCTACAGAGGTGCGGACGAGAAGACAGCTGATTTCGTACACTTTCGAGCATTTAGGTTGTCTCTCATCTACAATAGGAACCTTTGGCGAAAGCAACGAGGACATGGCAAAACAACAGATCTAATGAGCAGAACAATAACTCAGCACGTGCGCTTTAAATCTGTGTACATTTCTTAGCTTTCCTCTGCAAAATAACAACGTGAAATTATAAAATTTGCGTGGTATCAAAAGGGGAACCCGGCGGCAAATTGTTTAAGTTTTCCACTCCACGCGGCTCTCATACTTTGTGCTAAGATTAACTTGTGGCGTCGTAAGAGATGGTGGACTAATTCAGTAATTCGCAAGATTGTAACGAGAAATTTATTTTTAAATCGACGTTTTCCTTGGCGTTGTCGTCCTGACTGCAAAAGGTCCTTTATGTCCGGGTAACTTGAAGTCCAGTTTACCTCAACACAGACCAAACTAGAATCGTTATTTTGATATACTATGACGTGTTTCTTTTGTTCCAGGTATCTCTTACTTCTTTTATCTCAAAACATCCACTATGAATCGAGTTTAAAGTATTTCCTCCAAAACACTAAAATTCTCTGATTTTAGACGTCCCGGAAAGAAACTCAGATTGGACTTCGCAAGTTTTCCCAAGACACGAGTTTACACAGCATTTTATGAGACAAAATACCCTTGTATTACATACCATGTGTATGCTGAACTATTGTGTTGACGTCTTCTTGAGACAGACTGCATTTCTGTTGCGACAGAAGACTGTACATGATTTGTTCACGTGCACCAGCATCGGGAAGAGGAATGTAAAGTCTCTTTACTAAACGACGTCTCGCTGCTTCGTCAATCTCTTGAGGCCTTGGTAAAGCAATATAAATATGAAATTGTTTCCTAGCTCTCCCCTTCTCTTGAACTTAAAACAGTTTGATAAAAATATAAATCAGTAGTATACAGTGTATTTAACTCGGGTTTCTCCTGACATACTGTAGCAACAAAAACGACGCATCTTTTTCAAATTCTCTTATCCCGGAAGCAATCAGGGGTATTAAATCTCATTGGAGAATGGATGCCAGAACATTGCAAGTTACCCATGCGTGATAGGTGAGCCTTCCGTGCCAGTAAAGAGTACCATAAAGGTTCTACCTTACTCTTTGTGCCAAGGAACACCTACTACTACAAAAGCTTTTTAACATTAGCTGACCTGTTCGTGGCGCCAACCACCAAAATTCTCTCATCTGAAGTGGTTGTAGCCCCATCCTAACAGAAAATCAAAACTATAAGCCACTATTTTATTACACTCTAAACCGACGACAACATCACAGCTAAGTAAAAGGTTCACCTTCTGTTCAAGACTACAAACAGCAATTTAGCGGAATATTAGGAGAAGCACGAGTTGTTGTGGTTTGGCTCAGCTATTTTCCCGCATATCTTCTATATTGTATAGTAACACACTTTATTTTGGATAATAAATGTTATCAAAGCAATACTGCAGCCTCTCAAAACTATCATTCTTTTCATGTGAGTATAGCTCAAAATGTATCAGGTGATTCTGGTTTCTCGTGGCGGAATTGAAGTCAGAATGTGAGAAATCATCTTTTAGTTAAGTTGAAAAAAGTGTCCACCGTAGGTTATCCCAGCGTCTGACGTTTTGCCCAGGTAACCCGACAGTTCGCAAGTGCACATTTTATATTCTGGGTGGGAAAGGCAGCAAGAAAGCAAAAAGCCAAACAACCAGAAACAATCTGCTCGGTTTCATCTTTTGGTCTGATCGTCCCATTGAGTACAGTCCGTTTGTCGTTACTAGTGACTGACTTTTTGACAACCTTAGCGGAATTCATGATCAGAGTCGAGTCATTTAATATTTCCAGCGCTACATTACTTACCAGTTGCACTAGAAATTCAGTTTTGATTCTCCTGGAGGCATCGTGCTCTCCATCTGTTCTTTGCGACAACAGCGAATCTATTTCGTCGATGAAAATCACAGCAGGCAGATGACATCTGGCAACAGCAAACAATGCACGAACCATTTTTTCACCCTCACCAACCTACAAAACAAACAAACAACAACAATAACAACGGTATACACACGATCTGACACCGTCAAGCAAGAACATAGTACAACACATCCTAACTTTTGGGTCTCTTCTTAGTTTGTGAGTTCGTGATGTAAAATTACCTAAACCAAGACTATAAAATATTAGTGCAATTATAAATCGAAAAAGAGTAATGATAGCTTGGGATTGTGAAGAATTCATCAGATCGACAAGGATAAATTTAAACATCGTGGACAACCTTTTTTCAAGAGAATCAAACCGCAGCTCCTTCCCAAAGCCCTTTTATGACCTCTTTGGTGTCAATGAAAAACAACGGATTTGTTGTAGCCAGGTTCGTCTCCTGTTCATATACCAACTTACCCACTTTGACGTGAGGGACGAAGCGCTGATACTAAAGAAAGTAGCCTTTGATTGACTTGCTATACATTTACCTGAAATAAATATACACCTCTAGTTACTTACTAAAGCGTTATCCACCATCATTTAACTTATACTCTTTCGACCATTACGGGAAAATTTCAGTCTTAAGACACCAACGAAGTTTCAAGTCATTGCTTACATTAGGATATGAAATCAGTACGACAAAAAAGAATTAAAAATACTTTTCTGGGTGTAAGACAATTAAAATGTAAGTATTTTCATACGGCTCAGAAATCAAATAATCTGCACATTAATAAATCAGTATTTTTCAAAATACCGTGGGTCTCTCTATTTTACGGATTTAGGTGTATCGATGTTTATGTCAAATGCGAACGTCAAATCCACCTCTGGCTTTGTTTACTTTTCTTCCCATCCATGCTTTCATCCAACAGAAAAATACAAAAAAAAAATCTCTCCATTCACAGCAAATGAAAACAGCATCACATAACTGCACATACGGCTGAGGGGCAGACAGCGGAGATAAATGTGTGGAACAAGGGAACAGGAGGGATACGAGATAGAGAAGATGGAGAGTGAGAGCTGTCTTTGATAGACACAAACATGATTACACAAACATGATTCAAACTATCTTTTTAAGTGAAAGATGGTTGATAACAGCAAAATTTAGTGACAAAAAAAAGTGGCAGACATGCCGCAGAAAAGACAAACAAATCATACCTACCGATTAACGTTTTACCAGTTCCTGGAGGTCCAAAGAGTAAGATTCCCTTCGGTGGACCACGTAGGCCCTTGAAAATGTCACTAACCGAAAAATAAAAATACACTTTTGTCTCTTAATTGTTTTGACCTTGGAAACAGTTCACACTGAAAACCACTTCTCGATCTCCGTTTGATCTTTTGAAGTCGCTTTCACAATTGTTTCCAAAATATGGCCCTCATCATTTGTTTACTTGAATGGGAAAATTGAAAAGCCTAGAAATGTTAACACTATAACTAAAATGAAGTAGCTCGTGGTGAGCAATGTGTATTCAAAAGGAGAACAAAAGAAAGAATTACTGGGTAGCGTTTGAAAACGTTTTCCGTTGCAAGCTTAAGTCAGGTCCTATTAAGATCTTCTCTCACTGTTACATCAAAAGAATTGTTTTCTTCCAACAAACCGTTATTAGAAGGCTGCAATTCAATCTCAGAATTTAATTCACATCACACTAGCACAGCGCTGTTTTATTACCAAATACTTTTTACACAACAACGTTAAACACGCAACGGAAAACAAGTAAGACCATTGGCATAGAGCTATAACACCATTCAGTTATACTGCTGTGAGACCACCAGGCCTTGATGATTTGCAGACAACAACGACAATATCATTCTGCTTAGCTGCATAAGAACGTGGGGCGCGAAAACATTTTGATTCACTCACGGTCTCAGCATGGGCCATACAACAATCTCCTTGATAACATTCTTAGCAAATTCAAGTCCTGCAATATCATCCCAAGACAATGGTGGGCCGTGATCCATAATCTGAAAACAAAACATGAAAAACAACAAATCAAATTGATTCATGAAAGCCAACTTGATCGATATGGTTTTTTTTCTGTCTTCTCATCTTATTGTAGGCTATAAAAAATTCCCTATGAAAGCTGACGTTCTACCTGATCGCAAGTTAGGCGGTGAAGCCATCGGACTCTTTGGTAATCAGCATTGTAGAGCATACTTTAAATAAAACTGTGGGCAACAACAAACACGTGCAGAAAACACAACTTTCTGTATGTGCAAGGGCACTTCGATCCGGCGATTCCAATATGTGTATAACAGACCATAACTCCTCTTGTGATCTTACCTCGTTAGTAATAAGTTCTATCATTTTTGGCTCAATATTTTTCAGTCTTTCATCAACTTCTGGATCAGCGCCGGCAACTTTACCACTTTGATTCTTGCCACTGTGATTCGAATAACCAGCCATAGCAGTACCACTGGAAAAATTAAGAAGAGTATTTCACTTTAATTAAAAAATGTAAGAAGTGTAAGAAGGCATTAACTCAATTTGTTATCTACCTAGACTTTCATTCAACAGAACAAGCACTGTGATTGGTTGATTCTCGGTCACGTGCCCATGGTCAAATTCAAATGTATCCTGACAGGGATACAATTGCGCAGTTGTTACCCGCTCGCCGAATACAACAGCATATTTTTGCCATATGATTGTTTAAGGGAAAGTCTAAATATATAACAAAGCAGTTAATGTATGGTCCCTCGGGAAACTAGTTAGTTTTGTTTCCTCTCGAGTCCTTCTCGAGGAGGCTCTTCTCGAAGTCTTCTGTAAAAGAAAAGAAGGAGTATAAACAGGACCACAGCAAGGTGTAAATAAAAGCTTTATCACATTGTCTTCTCACTTGCCGAGTGCCTCGACCTTTCGTCAATTACTACTTGTGATAACTTACTAACCTCTGCAATTCATCATCATCATCTCGATTCAAAACTGGAGGGATGAATTGTCTGCTTGGACCTCGCCTGAAACAAAACACTGATGTCAATATCTACTGTTTAATGCGTGTAACATTTTGATAAAATCTTCTTCATATGTGATCATATTTCATAAAATCTCTTGCAAAGTACAGGTTGCGGAAAGTAGTTTTCACTTGATCATTGGCCATTGTCACCATGCTCGTGGTCTACATGACCTGAACATTCATCCTCTTTGGTGATTTTGTTTTTTTTTTCATTCTTATCATTTTTTCATGGTGACCTGACAAATTTATACTCCAGAAGAATCAGCATTAGGACCAGTGAGTAGTCGTTTAGATGCATTAGCCTTTATAACTCCCAAGATGAAAGATCCTTACACAAATCATGTACCAGAATTTAGACTTATATCAAGATAACTTCTGATTCAAAGCTGTCTTCAACACTGTTGCAACAAATTTAAGGGCCAGCGGTTTATCTGAAAATTAGGCTTCAGTCCCTTCGCGTCCGTATAAATATATATATATATCGAAATTTTCGCGCGAAAAGAACAGTAATGTTATGCAGTTTGTCGTGCTATGATCGTTTCTTTGCTGCATCTCGTGTACTTCTTCTATCCAAAACGTCAAGTACGTTTTGTGATCGTAATTATTCTTGTCGGTAGTTGGCTGTAGTGTAATTTAATTTAATCATGTTTCAGAAACCACTGGTTACGAATAAATCGTATGGTTCGTGTAACCGTTTTGAAATTTGCCGGTGCGTTCGCTACAAACACCTTTTTCTAAATAAGAGATTTCCATTGTAACAAAGCTGCATTAGTTCAGTGGTTGATTACGTGTAGAAAAAAAAATTGACGAAAACTTGATCAATTATTTCCTAAACAAAAAGTTTTAAGATCCAACAAACCTAGTTCCCAGTGTTTTTCTCGTACTTCCGTACATTGAGTTACTTATGCTCCCCTGTCTCGAAGATCCATCATGATGGGAGTTCTTTTTAGAATCCAGAACCTGACAGGAACAAGATCAATACTTGTTTTGTTTTTTTTTTTACCCTAAAATTAGTTCCAATGTTATCTCTTCATCTGAGCCACTGTTATAAAAACAGATATCAGAGGGCCAAGACCTTGTCATAGTTTGACCGATGCAGACATATATCAGTTTTCCCAATAATCAAAGTTGTTATTTCATGTTAAAAATGTTTTTAGTTTCTCTGATAAAGGGGTTCTTGCACACCAGTTATGAGGCCAATGCTACTAGAACTTATCATGATTTCAACAGCCTTAAACCTTTACATCCAAACAATAGTATTCAATTCCTCCACACTGTTTGCTTTAAATTTCACATGGTCCGGACAAGGAGCATTGTTTTGGCAACTGTGAGCTTCTAAAACTGGTGATCATTTCATTTATTCTCATGACCTTTATATATGATTAAAGGGTGATATTGTAAGGAGAATTTAGAAGCCAAACACTCTTAGGGAATTAGGAGTACTTGTACCACTCCTTTTCCTGATTGAGATGTTACTCTATCACAGTATTACCCATCCCTTAAAATATTTTGTCAGCCTTCCCCACCCCCCCTCCCACACTTCCCATTTGCCACTGTGTGGATGATGTAATCATGGATGGAAAAGCACTATGAGAGGTAAGTGTCTTAACCAAGAACACCACAAAATTACCCCAACTGCTCTCCAGTACTCCCATCATTGTACCACCTTAATACCTACTAAGGGGGAAAGTTTCTAAAGAAATCATGGTGTTGTGTAAGTTGGGGCTAAAACAAGATAATTTGGTTTTATCTTTTTATGGAAACTGTATGACCAGATGTATCAAAAAAACAATTGCTTTTACAGGGTGCTCACCATAAAATTTAGCAATGAGAGAAATAGTTCAACTTTTGGAAGAACATTCTCCACAGCCAGGTTGTTCCAAGCTGGGTTACAATAACTCAGGGTTAACGTGAAATATGATTTCAGATTTGAAAGCTTTATGAGGAAATTCAGTGGAATTTGTTTTGACCACAGTTTCATGATTGGATGCCCTAAAAGTAACAGAACAAAAATTATCTGAAAAAGGCTTTTGAGCAAAGGAGTAAAGGAACCTGGATTAAAGTTTAACCCTGGGTTAGTGCTAATCTGACTTGAAACAACTGAGCTCACTTCTGTATTAAAGAGCAGCATTATAAGCCATTGAAATTTTGCCAGAGAATTGTGCATGGTTATGAGAGAGAATTTCTCCTTACAATATCAAAGCAACATCATGCTGACAAGTGATGAGAATAAAGAAGAATATCAATTGGGGGATTTTTAATTGATCCACTACTCAGTTCTCCAAAGTAACATTATAAGAACTGTAAAACAGACAGTTAGGAGAATTACTATCAAGATCTTGGGAATGAAAGGGTTAAGACTGTTCTGAAAGAAACATGTATAACCTTTAAACAATATGTGGATTAAGCCAGGAACCTAATAAAACAAAGGTTGTATACCAAATAATTAATCGTGTACAAAAGATGTGCCCAGTTAACTCATCTATAACAAGAATTGAAACAAAATTTTTGCTTTGTTCTGTCCAAACTACTGACTTGTGGTGAATGGTTGAACTTACCAATTTTTGTTTTGCAGTGATGAAATAGGAAGATGCTTTGCTTTCTTGCTCACTATCATCAGAATTGTGCTGGTTGTCTGAGGCATTTCTGGAATATTTTTTATCAGAACCCTGAGAAGGAAAATAAGAGCCTCAGTCAAAAGTAATCAGTTTGATTTGATTCATCATAAATGGTGTGGTTCTGGCCCAACTTGAAATTATATTAAAATAATAAATGTATAATCTACAACATCCTCAACAACTGCTTGGTAAAGGTGAAGGAGAAACTGGATCATTTACATGCCTTCTAGATAATTTACTGTGCTAAAAGACAGGCTCCAATCGTTTGAGGGGTGGATAATGCCACCCACTGGATTAATCTCCAGCCAGTGGATAGTGTAGTTAAAATTCATCCACAGATAGTGATTTATCCATTGGATAGTTTTTCACCATTTGAACAACTGCCAAGGACCAGATAAAAAATCTCAAAATTAATACTGAGCCTGAAAGGAAAGCTGTTTATGAGAAGAAAAAGATAAGAGATAAACAACAGACATTGATTCTGTAACTATTTCTAGCTTTATAGATGGTCATCAGCACATACTTGATAAAAATTAAAGTTACTGGTATGTGTAGCAGGGTGACTGTTATTTGTTGATGATGTTGCTGAATCTTTCATGCTGGATGCTCCATCTGGATACAACCTTTGTGTGGAATTTTGGGCACCATGAACTTGGTATATCCCATCACCACCTAAATAGTGAAAAATCATGGATTTTCAGAGCAGTTTTGACTGAATGTTGCAAGAAATCTGAAGCTTCTCTGGTTTAGCCTCAAAACTCCACCTCACAAGAAAGATTAGTTCTGAAAAGTAACATGGAAATGTCAACCAAATCCAATTGTGGCATTTATTTCATAGTCCCAATGTTATCCCTTTAAAAATGAATTGTATTGATTTACCTTTGACTCCCTGCAGCATAAATTTTACTTTCACTCTGATGGGTTGATGTTTTGACTTTGGTTTTGAATCAAGGTAACCCTTTCACTCCCAAGATCTGATTGTTAATTCTCTCCTCTAGCTGCTACATCTTTCCTTGTTAATTACTTATGAGAATTTGATGTTAACTGCCACTTGATATATAAGTTTAAGTATTCTTGTTACTTGTTTGCTGGATAATGTATCAATATTATGGGGAGAAGTTACATGTTAATCACTTCTGGGAGTTAACCCCATCAACTCCCAAGATCTGATTGTTAATTCTCCCTTCTAGCTGCTACACATTTTCTTGTAAATAAGTTATGAGAATTTGGTGTTAGATCAAGATAACAACTTCAACCTGATACATTTGAGTATTCTCATTACTTGTTTGCTGGATAGTGAATGGATATTGTAGGGGGAAGTTACTTGTGAATCACTTGTGGGAGTTATAATTATATAAGAGTAAGAGCATGCTCATCTAAAGAAGTGTCAATTGACAACAGGTGCTTGTACTTCAAATCTGGTATAACATAGCTGATTATTTTAACCAGTGCAGATTCCTAGGTGTCCATATATGGCATTGAATAATGTTAACTCCACAAATACCAATAACAGAAATTAATGAATCAGTTTTTAAAATCTCAGAAGCTACTAACAGTGTATCATGACTACTTATTCATACCTGGAGCTGTGGCCTTCCTTTTCATTCCACAGTGTCCTGTTAAACCATGTGGTTTGTGGTTTGAATCTTCTGTCCTCTTTTCCTGAAAAAATAATTCAGTGAATTAACCTGCCCAAAGAGTTGCCTGCCAAAGATGATCATTAAGGTGGCTCTACATGCAGTGCATCACTCATAAGATTTGTGTAATTCACTGGTTGATTATACCAATTTCTAATAAAGGACATTTTTATGTGCACTGCTACCTGAAAGACATATCGGAACACAACAAATTTGGTATATGATGTTTCAGCTCTGTTCCAGTTCTGCTCTGTAGATAATTTGTCTCAATCAAATGTTCCACTGTTACACTTATAAGTAACATTTGATGGAGGAGTCCCATTTTTTCAAAAACCTTGTAGTTTTCCATGGGCCTATTCAAAACATTTTATTTTCATCCATACTAAGAAAAATAAACTTCATCCTTCCCAAGATCTCCTTATTTTAAAAGTCTTCTTCCTGTCTGCCGTACAGTTCTTACAAAGTTAGATTGGATAATTTGTTATTGGATCAACTAGTAATCCCCAAATTAATATCACCATTTGCCTGCTTGATGGTGCATTGAATCAGACATTGTAAGGAGAACTTCTGTCTTAGTTGCACATGGGAGATAAAGGGTCTATTGAATGTTTTAAAATATTTTGGGACGTTCATGAAGCAAATATACATAAACCCTTGCAAGAGGCTACATCCCTAGATGAAATTGCTTGGAACAAAAATTATAATGGGGTAAAAAAAAAAACCTGCCGCACACACCTTCCTACCAGAGTCTTCACATATTGACATAACTCTTTGGCTTTCCATCCCAGTATTTTTTGATGAGAAAACTTCACTTGAAAAATCTAGTGCACTGGTTTTTACTCTGTTTGCCTGCAGGCTCTTACTGAGACTTGGTGCACTAGCTGAGGGGCGATTCAAGTTAATCTTGTGCAGCTGATCATCATGTGATGATGAATAAGTACAAGTAGCACCAGATGCTTCCACTGGCTCCTCATCCAAAAGTTCTCTTTTAGTGTCCTGTTATCAAATGAGTCCTCATATCATTTGTGAAAATAAATAATGATATTACTATGGACCAAGTGGAGTTCAATTTGGTCTGTCATCATTCAAGTGATCACGAGGGTCTGATTTGTTAGTCACTTGTATTATTACAGACAGACTATTGGACAACACAAAGTCAGTGTACCAGTTAATCAAAACCATTACAATTTCCCAAAAAACAATTACATCTAGAACAATTATCTCCTGTGGAGACAATGTCTTGAGTTAAAATTCCTCCATTTTGGAAATTTCCCAGTTTTTCTTAGGATAAGTGGTTGTTGCTATGGTTATGGTGATCAATTTTGTGTAGTAGATTTTGCTGAGTGGACTAAGTATGATTGGCTGCTTCAACTGTCTGATTACAGGGGTCCAGTTACAACCAACTGTCTGATTACATTGTCCGATTACAACTGTACAGATTAATTAGTGAAAAATGAAGCTGCTAATGCACCAATTGCCTTTGAGGAAATTGTAATGGTTTTGACAAAAGTAAGCATGTGACTGTGCTTGAGGGATGAAAAACATTTATGCAAATCATTAATCTTGATTCATTATGTTGTACATTATAAGAAATTCCATGTGTATAAATTGTGAAGTAACAATCCAAATTATGATAGGGATGTATTCATGGCCGCAAAGATCCCATAAATCATTTTGCAATGCCTTATTGGACCTTACCCACAGCTCTACCCATGAACAGCACCTGGAGAAAGATGGTAATTCTTAAAATTTATCATTGCATTTGTGTGTCAGAGGGTTTTCCCTTTTGGAGAGCAAATGGTGAGGTTTGTCATCTATGAATCTTTTTGGCACAGACAGTCATGGCCAAAATGTCCTTGTTTGTAAACAACCAGTAAACTAAACAAATATAGATTGCTTAAATCTTCTGTTAATATAAAATTTATATGAAAAGGAAAATTCTGCACACAGATTTCACTGTGTCTAAATTGTTGTAATAGATAAGATGATTGTGGGTAGCAAGGACATTAATGTCATTCTCATGAATTTTTCTATCTCAGAAGAACAGGTTGTGAGTCCTTAGAACACAGGGGCAACTAGGTATTTCAGTGGAAATTCTACTCTAACCCATAGGGGAGGTGAAGGCTCAGAGGGACAAAAAGAGTATTTCTGCATAATAACTGATGCTATTCACCACGCCTACCATGAGAGATTTGTAAATAGGCAGCTTTTTCAAACTATCCAGAGATAAACCTGAGGTCCATTCCTGACTCTCTACAAAAATAATTATCATATCATTAAAGATGGCAATTAAAGCAGGATGCATATGCCTTAGAAATCTAGGGTACTCAGCTGAGTATAATTTGTGTGTGAAAGTGAAATCAGTGAAAAGTAGACATGACCAGGACATGTCAGACCAAAATTCATCTTCAAAGTAGTTCTGGCAACAGCTTCAAAACATGTGTACTTGCTTAAGAATTTTCTGATAAATACATTAAAAAACAATATAACATTAAAAGAAACTTTCCATCAGTCAAGTGTACACATTTGCTATCTCACTGCAATCTACTTAACTGTCTTTGTAACCCAGTGTTGTTAAAAACTTACCATTACGATGGCTAGAAGCAAGAGTTAACACAGCTTCAGCAAAATTGTTCAAGCCTAAGAAAGGAAACTGACTGTCAAAATATAAAATAAAATAGTCAAGCAAATTTGAATCAAACCATTTATTAAATAAAGCATCTGTCTTATGAACTTGAAGCATTATGGACCAATGAGAAAAGGTGTTGAATTTCATACAAAAATTCATGATTCAACTTTCTGAAAAGGATGTAATTTTGTGCACATCAATGAATAAGTTATTTCACAATGTAAATGATGGAGCTGAGGGGCTGGATGCAATGCTCAGAATACTTGCCTCATACCAAACTTCTAAAAGGTAAAGTGTGTCTGAAGCCAAGTGGCCCATTCTGCTTATCCCAGTTTCCATAAGATAACATTAATATCAGTATGCATATTCTCCATACTGTTCTTCATACATTTCCTAAGGTGCTGACAAGGAGAATTTCTTTACTGATCAAAAGCTTCTTTTGTTGGTGATCATTTCCTTTATTCTCATGACCTTAATGTCTGATTCAATGGTAATATTGCAAAGAAAATTTAGATACCACTCCTAGAGGGGGTTAAAGCATTAATACAAATCCTTAGGAGTATTATTACTACTTCCCCCTTAGATTGGATGCCAGTCCATCGCAAGATTACCCCTCAACATTTGATCTGGCTTCCAGAACAAGTTACCCATCTGAACTCCTGGGTTAAGGGTGATACTGTGACAGAAAAGTGTTTTGCCTGAAGAACACAAAACAATGACCCAGCCAGGCATCAAACCTGTTTCTCTTAACCCAGAGCCCAGCACTAACCACTATGTCATTACTTCTCCCACTGCCTCCTTCCAAACTTAGGTTCAATTTCCCCATCTCAGCCCAGGGTCAATTTTGATTTTCTTTACATCTCCTCCATGTTACAGCACTCTTAACATAAAATATTCACTCCAAATTCTAATTCTACCCGGAAGCATTGAATTGGAGCTGTCATTTGGTTGTCTTATTGTAAGATTCATTTTATCGACCACCATTAAGGTTATCATTAATTATTATAAACAAAATTGACAATAGTTGTTCAGTTACACCTAATATATTATCACTATCTCTAGCCATTCTGTTTGCATAAACATGATTTTGTTAGTATAACAAAAAGATAGGTTTCCCCCTGGATATCTTAAAGCTCAGTACCATGAATCCAAAGAGGATGGAGACAACTCCACAGGCACAAGCTTTCATATAACAAGAGGACTTTGGCCAAGTAGTTTGCTACAACAGATTTGGAATCAAGAGGTACAAGATGTTAATTCCCCTCTGTACAACTCAATTGGACTTGGTTGTTAGAACAAGTTCAAAGTGTCCTCTGCAGTGCTTTGCAAATAGATAAACAGTTTTCTCCCCTCAGTTTGAATTTTTGAGAGTTTACATTATAGTTACCCTACTTGTGTATGCATTTAGAGTGATCTAATAGGCACAAGGTGATCAAGAAACTAACAATTATGATAAGTATTATTATTTTGGTACCTTTGTCAGGGTTTTGGTTGTCTACAATTTGAGAGTAATTCCCTGCAAACTTCTCTAACATCCTTGTGTAAAGTTGGTATGATACTTTTTTACTACAAATAAAACAATAATCAGTCAACCATTTTTTTTAGAAAAATTCAAGATCAGAGACTTACATCTAAACTTAGCAAAGAGAGGGTAGTTAAAAGGTTTGAAAAATTAGTAGATTCAGCCTTGAAACGCACCTGTATAAAGGAATTAAATGAATTTTAAATAAGCCAAAGATCATGGATCTGCAGAATATTTTAGCTCAAATCTTAGATCCTGTCTGTTCAGAAGTTCAAATATTGCTTAGTTTTCCGTCAGACTTGGTCACACAATTATCAGGACTACAATCAAAGGAACTGATCATTAAGGGAAAGAAGCTAGGAGTACGGTTCACTTTTTCACTTTAGAGAGATTTAAGTTTGGTGTTATTAAAAGTAGTAGCCAACCTCCTCCGAAAAGTTTGAAGTTGAACCAGCAATCTCCGCCAGGCGTCCGCTCTGGAAGAAGCATCATTTGACGAATCTGTATTGAAATGTATTCTCTGCCACAAGTTTAGGGCACGAGAATCGTCGTATGAATAGTTCATCTTTAACGAAACAAGCACATTATAGGCAAAGAAGAAAGCAAAGAGACCAAAATCACTAAAACATTCTCTCTGATGGATACTTGCTTCGCGAAAGAAAGTCGCGAGAAAACTGGGGTAGAGAAGTACGGATGGCGCGAAAAGAAACATAGGTCTGCAATCGTCCACATTGCCCTAAATGGCCGATTCGCAAAACGTCAGAAAAATATTTTAATGTTTTTGTCTTTTTCCTTATTTGACGATTGAAAACTTGACAAGATTTCCATGGTACAAAAAGCCACAAAGCTTTAATTCCTCATATAGCAACGTGTCATACGAATACCATTCTGAAATACCATTCGTCGAACAACAAGTGAGAAGGAAGCGCGCGCTCAAGTCCTCTTTATTACGCAATAGAGTCATACAACTGTTTTCCTTCGTCCTTTGATTTCAGTTTCAACGTCTCATTTTCAATGAACGTTTCTTTAGCAACTTCGCAATGAACTGGATTTCGAAGAAATTAAGAGCAGGTGTTCAAGAGATCAGAGAGCGAACAGGCAATGGCGGTGAATGATTCCAGGGGCTTTGCCAGATTTTCGACTTGCTGCGGGCCTATACCCAAAGAAAGTTAAATTTTTGTTTCAAAATTTATAAGAGTTACATCATTTAAGTCAAACGACGGGGAAAAATGGTAGGCCTGGGCCTACAGGTCTATAGACTGGCTACGCCCGCGGATTCTAATATGAGAAAAAATAGTTTTGATAGTGCTTTTAGTTTACTGTATCAAAACTTGCGTGTTAATTAACTATTTACCGAAGTGGAGGTGGCTAGTGATGGATATCTACCGAGCTGCGAAGCAGTGAGGTAAATATTGACAGTTAGCCACAGGTACTGAGATTTATCAGAACCATTACAATTTCTTCAAATGTGATTGGTGCATTGGCTGCTTTATTTATTACTAATTATTGTGTACTGTTGTAATCAGACAGTGTAATCAGACAATTGGCTTTAATTGGACACCTGTAATCGGACAGTTGAAGCAGCCAATCAGACTAAGTACACTCAGCTAAATCCACCAATCATAGAATTGATCATTATGACCATAGCAGTAACCACTTATCCTAAAAAAAGGGGAAAAATGGGGAATTTAAAAAATGGAGGAATTTTACTTTAGACATTGTCTCTACCAGAGATGTTTGTTTAAGATTTTTTTTCTGAAATAGTAACGGTTATGATTAATTGGTAACAGGAGTTCGTGTCGTACTCGTCATACTCGTGATTAACAAACCCGATTCTCGCTTCACTACCGTCTGAATTTGTTAATCACTCGTATGACTCAGACGGAATTAGACTCGACGTAGTAAAATTACCATTATGAATGGGTGCTTTAAGTTATACTTAAACAGTGAGATTATATAGCACAAAAAGATAGTCTTAGCTCATTTATTCCCGCAACAACTACAATATTTCAGGCGCAAATCCCGCGTGTTCACAATCATTCACCGACAATAAAATATTTGTGACTCGTAAATTTCTTTTTTTAATTCGTAAAAACCTTAAGATTTCGATTTTTTCCTGAGTAAATTGTGCTTAGTTTTCCCTTGAGATCAAATATTAAGGAGTTCATAGAGTTACTTTCAAAGCAAATCTAAGACAATATTCTATATGAATTTAGTCAAACAACATGCTTCGTGTTTTTGCAGTCACTCAGGCGGAAGATATAGGAGCATTAGTGGATGAAAATTTATTCGAAAGAGACATTCTGCTTGCCACGAAGAAGCTCGCTTCTTCATCCAACATTTCCGAAAGAACACAAGGTGAAAATCCCAGCCTCTTTTCTTCCAGTTACATTTGTATGTGCGAGGTTTCTAGGCTGTTTGTTTGTTTGCTTGTTATTTATCGCGGTTAGTCTAAGATTACCATACTTTTACTTCTTAGACCAGGTAGAGTAATCATTTTAAGAAGAAAGAGATCAACACATCACTAATTAAATCAGTGTAGTGGACTATGGCAGATTTAAGGGTGGGTGGGGTGGCTCGGGGGATATGGTCACAAAATTGCAGCAACGCATGTTTCATTACCATGTAAGTGTAGCCTGGCGATTTTTTGGTCCAGAAGAGTAACATTTTTGCCCAAGAAATTTGAGCATTTGAAGACACAGATTTGGCTTTAATAGGTTGAAAATCGTATTTCTCGCTAAAGCTCAAGAAACTTAGTTGGCTCTGGAAAAATTCAAACTTAACCTAGGGAGCATTCTCCCCATGCTGTTTTCTGGTAACTGGTTAGAACTCTCGTTTGAACCCCTTACATAAAAATCCTTGGTCAGCCCGTTAGAGGTTATTTCAACATTATTAAGTGCGTCGTGAAAATTGCACATAAAAAAACAGAAGTGCCGTGCAAGGGAGAAGGTAATAATAATAATAATAATAATAATAATAATTAATTGACAATATTTCTTCATGGTAGCTCTACATCCGTCATACTGACTAAAAACTAACGACTTACCTAATTGAACTAGCGTGAGCGTGATCTAAGTTCTTTGTTTTATTTACAGCCGTTAAAGACCTGGGACATTTGTCTTGGTCAGGTAAGTTCAGTTATTATCTAAGTGATTTCTGTTTATCATTAAAATTCTACAGGTTCCAAGTTACGTCAAAAGAAATAAAAACAAAAAGGATAAAACGTAAAGCAAAACTTTTACAAAATTTGCAACCCCTGGTCAAATCAGAAAATCTCTATGCGAGTTACTGAAATGTCACCTTTTGTTTTCCTTTCTTTTTGCCCTTTTCAAATCACTCGGGTATCCATTTACGAGGGAGCGGTCATTATTTGTCTCCTGAGGAGATGGGTCGGACTTATCCCCACTAAGGCTCTGTGAAATTCTTATGTTTTCCCCCTCATTGGCAGTTAGTTAACAGTCAATGTTCTAGAGCCCCACCCCCACCCCCTTTATACTCCATTGGTGACGAGTGCCCCCCTCCGTTTTCCCTAAAAATCATGTGATCCCCAAATCCCCCCCCACCCATCCACCACGATAATAAATGACTGGTTTCATTTATATTATGGCCTTACTCTGTTTTCTGCAGAAATTTCACCCATATTAATCAACAAAATTTGGTTTCCTTTCACTGCAAGTTGGCTTAGTTTTAGAAGAATACAAAACAATTATAAAATGAAGAAAGATAAACCATCAGCGCTCACAAATTGTTCAATATCTGTTCTTCAGGAGGTTCGTCCGCGGCTGCGTTTTCCGGAAACCAATTCGTCAATTTACTCAGTCTGTTAAATAATCCAAACGAGCCTGCTGCCCTGAAAATGGTAAGAAATTTCGCTTAAATCATGATCAAATAGTCCTTAATTATCTTATTCCCCAGAGGCGAAGCGAATTTTGAATGGTAAATTGTTTTCATCAAATCTCAGCTCTATGCACGGTGAATACAGGACGTGATTTTTCTTTTTTAGGATACCATCACTCTCATCAGTAATTCGCTTCTTTTATTAATGAGGTTTCTTTTATTATCATCGATCCTAAAGTCTCATGGTACAAAAGCCAAGTATTAAACAAGGTGAAAGAAAATTTAAAATTTTTAAGTGCACATTCCTTAACTCTGGTAAAACCTAAATTTCGTTTACTTTCGACACATAAACCTATAAAACAAGTTTTGTCTACGATGACCTCGTCAGTCAGAACAATTCATAAAATGTAATTGTCAATTTTAGCTCACGGTTCATGCAATAGGTGAAATATGTTGTGCAAACAAAGAAAATCAGGATAAAGCAAGGTACGTCATTCATTTTATGGTGTAAAAAGAAGTGGCTGAGGTTAAGCCGATCTCTGTTTGAATCAACGGATCGAGTCGTCATTATTAAATTTCCGGCTATACTTAACCTCTCCGTTTATTCCTACTGCTATCTTTTTGGCTTGAGTTCCAATGACCCTTACATTCTACTGAATAATCTCACTGTAGATAAAGCTGAAAGAAAAAGGCATAGCATAAGAGGATTAAATAAAGTAATGATTCTCACAGGTGGAATGCATTTTAAACAATTGCAGCTTAAATAAGCTTAAAAAAATTCAGGCTTTTGCTTCTAAAGTTTCTCAACTAGTGTCCAGGAGGCACGGGTTTAAATCCCGTCAAAGCAAATGACTAAATTGAAGTCCACCTGTGAAAGTCATTTCGTTATTTCATTTTCATTTCCACGCCAAATGAAATTTATTTTATACAAACTTGTGATATGAGGATAAATGTGCAAAGAAATAAGAAAGTTTGTGAATTTTGAGCTCAGTCGTTTAGGTAATAGAGATATTACTCGTTTTGTCTCGGGAGAAGGAAAAAGTATAGGAACGGAGCGCGAAATCGAATGGTCTGCGGTTCTATTCCTATTGCAAGCTTACGAGAAAACTAATATATCTTTTTGTATTAGAGTTGATGCAAATCATTAGTCGTGGTATGCACTTCAAAAAATAAATATGTTTTGATATTTAAAAGGAACCTATTTATAGAGCATATTTAAACCAATGCAATGCGTTATTGTGATAACCTTTTGATTTCAGAATGTATGGTCTTGTTGAGAAACTTACTGAGTTTCTAAGCACCACAGACAGTGATCCAGACTTTTCTGCTCTGGTAAGGCGAACTATTAACCTTTGCAGTTGAGTGCTGAAAGTTATCTGTTTTTGCGTTAGTTTCCCCTTACCACACACTGTGATTGCTCGAGAAATCTTGTCTCTTACCCATAAAGAAAAAAAGATTCATTAAGTCGCATTCAGTTTAAGTTTTTTTCTTGTTAAGCCAATCGCGACTTGGTCTTGCGTGTTTTTTCGCGTCAATATTTCATCTCCGCTTCACCAAAATTTATCTGCAAAGCATGATGAGAAATAATTCTGCTTAGAACTAACCCTGCTCTCTCTTGTCTTTTTGTGATATTTCCTTGTTCTAATTGGTTATCGTGGTTACTTAAGTCTATAGACACTCGATCGTTCAGATAATTATCTGAAATCGTGCATCGGATAAGCTTCTATCAGTAACTGTCGAACAAAATCGTAGGAGTACCAGGTGAACGTCTCGGGTAGCACCTTGTACTTTTGGGTGATTCACAACTCTCTTGGAGGGCAAATGTAACGGTGGCGGCTCAGGGAATATAGGAATCCTCTACACCAATCATAAAACAACCCGCATATGTAAAGGCCAGTATAGTGAGGCCTTTGGAGACGTGCTGGTTGCCGGACGTTTTTTTTTTTTTTTATAGAAAATTCTCCTTCAAGCTCAGCCAAACCATAAAATGAACCACGGACTCGCCATCTTTTTAACGCCAACTGTGCATGTTCTCACACCCTAATATATCACAACTAACCTGTCTGAATGATATCTCAAAACAGTGGAGTTGTGGTATATTGTATTTTACGTGACAGTGTAACTTTTATATTCTAGAGACGTTCTACGGCTGCTTGCCTGCTGACCCTCGTGTGTGAAAATCTGGAGAATCAGAAGGCTCTCCTTCGCACAGACAAGCTACAAGTAAGTGACTCGACAAACAATTGATCTCAATAGAACGCAATTTAACTATGGCGATTCCTGATTTTCCAATATTTTTTTCTATTCCCATATGATTGGCAACTTAATTTTTTAATTTCAAAAAGGAAATTGATGGAACATGCATTATGCATGTTAGTCACCCATGCCATTTTGTAACGTCATACTATATCTCTGCGCTAAAAATAACAATTGGTTCATCTGTTAGCGTGCGTTCATCGAGATATGAAGCACGCGGGAAGTTTGGAGAGCACGAAAGATGCGTAAGAGTTGCTCGAGCCGTAGCCGAGAGCAACTCTAACTTCTTGAGTGCTCTCCAAACTTCAATTGTTTCATAACATTTTCAACCTGAAGGAAAATTTTTTCTCGAGGGATTTGTTTGCTGACGTCATGAGCGTGCACAATAGGAATATGAAGCACGCTCGCGCAATTGAATTTGATTAGACAAAGTTACTAGCTATGTTATAATGAATACCGTAAACTCCCGCTTATAAGCACCCCCTCCCACATTTACAAGTCACCCTCGATTATTACCCCCACCCCCCTCCGTTTATATGCCCACCTCAGTAAAAACCCCTAACGAGGTTGTATACGCTCATGGGTTTATGAGCGGTAGCTTACGGTTCGAGATTCGAAACGAGGTGAAAACTGACTCATTCCCAGTCCCCACAGTGGGGGCAGTTCACAAAGTCGCCATGGGAACGAGTGGAAAGAAAATAAAGGGACGCGAAACGCGACTGAAAATTACTTTTTAAGACTTAATCACGAGCGGGATACCTTTTTATCATGCACTAACAATCTTCCTCTTCTCAGATATTTGGCCTTAGATTATGTGCGTTCAAAAGGAACCCTATCCTATTTCCTCATCCCATAATTCTATTTTCCTTCACTGTTTTCCGTACTGTGCGGAAATGAAGACAACTATGGACGAATCTCACGTGACATTTCGTCTACTGAAGCGAGTTCCTCAAATTTGGCTCAGTAAGACTGCACTGTGTCGTGTTTTATATAGGACCTCTTGACCTCTGTCTCGATGGAAAACTGGACAGCATGGGAAGAAAATGAAGCTGCACAACTGATCACGTTTCTTGGACTTGATCAAAGGGGTGAGCGAATATTTACTTTCTTAAAATTAACTGATTCCCTTATAAGGCTCTGCAGTAGCCTTATGATCCCACATAGAGTCCGTCTTATAATCTGTTGGCGACGACTAATCCCCCTTCCCTCCCCGAAAATCATCTGATCCCCAAAATCCTCTCCTCCCCCCGCCCGCCCGCCCCAGTCGATTTAAAATAACTGGTCCCTGAAATAGACACTCCAGCTTGGCAACCGCTTGAACGCTTTTTTAGGACCAAACCCCACAAACCGGAGAACTATTTATCCAGTAAAACCAGCTTGGTAACCATGGTACTAGCGATAGCACAAGATAATTTGGGATCGAATGATTTGATTCCGTCACTCAGTGATAATATAAAGAGATATGCCTTGGGAAAGAGACCTCTTGAATGAATGATACAGCATGGGCAAGGATTCTTTTTATAATATCTAGAGGAAGAAAAATTAGCCCGAGTGGAAATGAAAAAGGCAACAACACTTTTTGGCAATTTTTTTCTCTGACTCTTCTTTTCATAACTTTCCTCCAAAAAAGGTTTTTCAGATGACTTTCATAGCAACAACAGGTCAAAAAGACAAGTTTGCTCGTTTACTGAAATGATTTTTTTCTGAAGCGACCCACTGATAAAAAGTGTCAGTATGTATGAAATAAAGACTTTATACCAATGAAGTGCTCACGAACGATTTTTACTCTCTTGTTGTGATGCATCAAAAAACTTACTCGTTCGGTGCGCTAAATCATTCGTTTTTTCGATAAATCGCAGCTCGTGAATAAAAATCGTTCGCGTGCACTTTCCATGGAACTGATCTCTATGTATTTAGGAATTTAGGGGCAACTGGGATCGCAAAGTTCTTATAGTAATCGCCTTTGACCGCAGTGGCCGGGGTTCAATTCTCGGACCTGACGCTACGTGAGGGTTAAGCTTTCGCGCCTACCTATCAAGTTTTGAAAAATAAAATAAAAAAAAACAGAACGCGCTTAAAGGAACTCTGCAATAATGAGATAGAAATAACTGCAAGTGACCTAACGGAAAATTGACTATTTCTCTGTACTGATTCCGTTTAAGTTGAAGCTTGAAACGTTATGAAAGTGGCAACACAAGCAGGTTTTCCTTGTATCCCTATTTAAGGGAGGGTGTTTGTTTTACATTTTGGCTTGGGGGTGGGAGCCTTTTCGAGGCAATGCGATTTTACTCAAATAATTTTCTATTTTTTTCCATATTTGCCAGATGATGCACGTTCTCGATGGGCAAAGATGAAAGCATTTGGCGGAAATCTACAAAGAGGGACACAAAGAAAAAGTTCTGTTTTTGGCGTCTGAGAACTCTACCTTGAATAAGAAAAAAATTATACTGGCAACACATCACTATGGATAAAATAATTTTAATATGCCCTGAAGATATTTACATGGCATGACTTTCACGTTTTGTTCTACTTGATGTGGAATATATGAGGGTCATGACCCGATTTATACAGGAAACTCGCGCGACAAAAGCGCAATTTTCATTTCCTCCTTGAAACACACTTTACCTAAAATCATAAAATGTAATACATGTGTGAGAAAAGCCTCTCGTTACATAATTGATGAATAAACAAACCGACAACTTAAACAAATTTGATTTACGTAAAATAATGTAACATGATGGTTCTGATAAAATTGAATCCACCTCTAGGGCAACGGTTTGATAAAACATAACTCTATATACTACTTAAATTGTCATTGGCAATGTGGTAGCAAATAAGATCGCAGTTTCTTTGAAAGAACCTCTCGTTAAAACGGTTAAAGCCTGTTGTTAATTAGCTAACTGAAAAATTCATACCGTAAAACGTATAAAAATAGAGAAAGTTGATAGAACTTAAATCTGGAACTAGCTCGTTATGTTCAATTTCTTAAGAAAGAATGTTTGCAGTCAAATATTTACAGCATGTTTACGTACGATCAAAGTTGTTCTCAGATTTGTCCACCCAACTTGCTTGCGAGTGGATGTGAATAACGCTATGCGTGTAAACATAAACTTTAGAACTGATTTAATCATAGTCTCTCTCGGAAAAGCGGTGCCGCGAACGTAAATATCATCATGGAACACGGTGGTCAATTACTACTTTCGTGAGCGCAGTGACCTGGTTTGTGGTGGCTCGACATCTCGCGCTCGCGCACTTGATCGTTTCCTTTTCGCCTCTGGAACGGCAGGTTCAGCAACCTCCTCTTCACCGAGCTGCCTTTTTCTCCCTCGAGTTGAACGCACGGGTAGCTGTGGTTCAACTGTTGGTTTTATTTTTGCTGGGTTTGCGCTCCTTGATGACCGTGTTGTTCTGGGCTCTTCCAGTGCTTTTCCTTTGGGCTCTCGCTTACCCCGGACATTTTTCACGGAACTCTTTGACTGGAAATTTTCCACCTCCTGAAGTGAGGCAGCAGTGCTCTCAGGAACAATGCTCTCAACCGGATTTCCGCGAGTGCGTCTTGTGGATCTCTGCTTTGAAGACGCCTCCTTCTCTTCCGACTGTGTCTCTTCGTCTGCTTTAGCGACGCTCTCTTTCTTAGTTCGCTTTGCTTGACTGCTTTGGGCCAGCTTGTCTTCGTTAACAGTATTATTCTTGTCGGCTGTTCTTCTCGAACGAGTTCTCCTTACTTTTGTCGCTTCTGCGTCATTTTGTTGGACTTTTCCATTTCGAACACTCTCTTCCTCAGACATAACTGAGGCAGATTCTTCGGTGGTCCTGGCTTTGCGTCGAGAGCGCGTGGTTGTGGAGTTGTTGATAGTTTCGTCGGCAGCATCACCAATCACAACTTTATCTTCAACCTCTGCAACTTCAGCTCTTCGGTTGCGACCGCTTCTTGTCGTTCTTGGCAGTTTAACGTTTTGTGAAGGTGCTTCTTTAAGTTGAGAGCTACGCGTTGCTCGACCTTTACCACCACTCTTTCCAGTCTCAACATCAGCCTTCTGTACATCTACACTACTGCTGCCGCTGTCTTCCTCGACTTTCGCTCGTGTCCTTCTCTTTGTAGCAACACGCTTTTCAGCGACTTCACCTCCACTGCACTCTTCAGAGGAAGAATCTACTCTGGCTTTAGCACGGATCCCACGACGAGAACATCGCGAAGGCTCCGTTTGCTGCGCTTTGAAATCGGTTGTTTCCTCCGCTCCTCCCCTGGTAAAGGCTTTCTCTGTTGCTTCGGGCTCAACCAATGTAGGGGAGGCGGCGACCTCGACCGTCTGATCAGTCGCAGGCAAAGGAGAAAGAACTTCAATAATTGGATCTAGTTGCGTGCGCTTAAATTCTAACGGTTTCGGCGTGCTTGGTAGGCTTGCTGCCGAACTCTTTTTACTTCTCGTCGTTGTCTTTCTTTGCACGACTTTCAGATTGGAGGGAGATTTTTTGCTTTCACTGCTTTGTTTTGCAGCTGCACGAGTAGTGCGCCCTCTTTTAGGCACTGGTTCAGGCAGTTTTTCGAGTGGCTTACGCTTGGCTCGGGTCACTCTTTGTACAGTTTCGGAGCTAACGTCCTCTGATGCTTCAGCTGTCTTTTCTTCGGATTCTGGAGAAATTAAGTTGATAGCCCGTACATCCTGCTCCTTATCACATTCACCCTGGACAACGGATTGGACTGTGTCTTGGAAGGAATCCTCGACAGGCAGCAAAAATAAATCTGATATGAAGTGTTCTTCAAGGTCAACAGCTCTCTTAGAATCTTTAGGTGTCTGCATCAGCGCCCTGAGCCCAACAAAGTTCGGACTGGCCACAGCTTTCTCAGTTCGCATCATTTTCTTAATACCGTCAAACTTTGGGCTCTCTACAGCGGCCCCTTCACCCATATCACCTGGTGTTCTCAGCAACCTGGCAACTCCTTGTAACCCTTCACTTTTGCGTGAGTAACGTTTGGGTTCCGGCTTGGGAGATGCAAAAACGCTGGGAGCAAAGAAATCTTCGACATTCTCCACGGCATTTTTCTCTTTCGGTACCTTCATCAGTCGGGCGAGGCCTTGCAGACCTAAACTTTTTCGGTCACTGGTACTGGGTTTTTTAACGTTGACGGCTGAAACTGCCTTTACTTGATCTGAGGAACGAATAGATGGGGTTTTGGTTGGAGCTATTGGCTTAATAACCTCCATTTTAATGTCTGGAGACTCGCTAGAGAAGACAGACGTTTGCTGCATGGCAGAACGAAGAGATGGCGTACGAGAAGGCTGCAGCGGAGTCACAACTTCCACTGTAACAGCATCTTTGGCTAAACTTCGCAGAGATGGTGTCTTCTGTGTCATTAATGCTTCTTTCATTTCCAGCAACACCTCTGGCGTTACAGCACTCTTGATAGTTTGCGCATTTATTGACCTTAGTGACGGGGTGTGAGAGCTGTGTATGGGGGTTACTATCTGAACAAACTCCGTATCTTCTCCAAAACTTCTCAAAGAAGGCGTCTTTGATAGTTTCAAGGATTCTGTCAAGTTTAAGTCTTGCTCTTCAGGACTTGAAGTGAGCTCGTCTTCTGTGGTGGTGCGCGGTGTGGCCACGGAGATAGATGGTGGTGTTGCAAACATTTCAGGCACTCCTTCGAAATCTTCGACAGCCATTCCACGTTTTCGTGGAGCTTTCGTCGCTTTGGCAAGACTCGACAACCAGTTGCTTCCTTTTTGTTGTTTGGATGTGTCCTTACTGATGTCAACCATCGGTGGGGTAGCAAACATTTCTACCAGGCCTTCCAAGTCTTCCACAGGTTTGGCACGTGCTTTCACGCCGTTGGTGGCTCGTGCAAGGCTTGACATCCAAGTACTTTGAGGAGCGTTCTCGTTGGTCTCTGGTGAATTTAGCACACCCACACTGTCGACCATCGCTTGGGGAACGGCCTTTCCGTCAAGACGTGCACTTCTCCGCTTCTGGATTGACTGACTGTCATTGACAGGTTTGCTGGGGACTTCTGTCAACATATAACCCGTGTAAGTATGAGAGTAACGGAGAGAGGCGTCAGAAAAAGGATAGGGGTAGAGCACCGTAACATGAAACCAAATTGAATGAAGTTCTCTTATTTGACTTGTTTAATACATGCAAAGCGAATAAAAATTTACACAAGGATAGTTTAAACTGCTAATAAGATAATGGATGTTGAAATTTCTGTAAATGTACTTCAAGCACGGCAATGCAAATCAATTCTGAGTTAAAAACAAAAATAAGTCTACAAATGGTTCTTGGTGAGGTCCAGTCTGATGAAAAAAAAATTTTTTTTCTTAGGGGAGATTTCTTTTTCGCACTCCAAGTCTATAATTTCAGTTATAGCAAATAACGTTGCACACCAAATTTCAGGTTAGATCTCGTAACACAAATATTTGTTAATAATAATTAACTTTTATTCCATGAGCGTGCGTTAGATGTGAGATGGTAAATAGCCAACGCGTTGCTACGCTTCTCGTTGGCTATAACCAATCTCGTATCCAACAAGTGCAAATTGGAACATTTGTTTCCTTGAATTTCATGAAATACTGAGCGTTTGGATATTTGGAGCCTTTTTTCAGCTCCGCAACAGTTGATAACAAGGATGAACTTACCATGATCTGCTGCAACAACATCAGCAACATTAGCGGGTGGAACAGATTCGGCCTGCAAGTTTAAACAACATGTACTCGATGAGCCGCTATGAAGTGTTGAAAATACAAACGTTGAGTACTGTGGTATCCGTATCTACCACTAAAACTTAATATTGACTGATTTTGTTGCAACCTAAACAATTGAGGATAATACAATATCAACGAGTTCCATGGCTACTTCATACTTAAAGAAGCCACAACGTGTATTTCCATGAAGCTCCTTCACAATCCGTGTCGATCCCTGTCAGTCACACTTTTTCTCTTTTGTCATATTTCTCGCGAGAAGTTGTACATGTACCTTCTCGATGTTTGTTAGCCCTGAAGAATTTGCCTCAGTCCATATACCCACAAAACTCGCCATAACATAAACATACCTTCTTACAAATTGGTGCCGTTTTTCCAAACTTGAATGAATTTCCCTTGGAAGATCTTCTCAAAGCAGTCTTTGTAGCTCTTTTCACGATTTCTGCGTATGTGGGTTTTCGCGGTCCGATCTCGTCCCGAACAGATGACGACTTCCGACGAACAGCTCTGAGTGCTGGTCTAGAGTGGATCCCAGTGCGAAGTGGTGTGGCCATACGGTGACGGGTGGGTCGCAGTTTTCTTCCCGCAATAATGGCTTTCCTGAGCGGAGTCTTTAAGGCTCTTCTTACCGGAGCTTCTTGGAACCCTTTACTTTCTTCATTCACCTCTTCTGAAGGTGAAGTTTTCATTCTCTTTGCATCGTGTTCGTTGAGTCCACCTTCGCTTCTCTTTCGCTTCACGGACTTAACGGTGGACTTCAGTGTAACTTTTCCTTCAAGCTGTTTTCTCACAGGAGTAGGTAGACTCTTCTTGGTCTTTTGTAAAGGCAAACCCTTTTTGATCTGCTCCTTCAGTGGTGTCGGTAAGCTTTTCTTCGTTTTCCTCAAAGTTACTCCTCCACTGATATCATTCTTCACAGGAGTGGGCAAACTCTTCTTCGTTGACCTAAGTTTCTTTCCTTTGATGATCTCAATCTGAACCTCAAGTGGCATGCTCTGCTTGGTTTTCCTAAGGTTAACACCTTGCTTGATATCATCCTGAAGCAGCACGTTCATAATTTTCTTGGTCTGCCGCAATTCTGGTTTGGCTTGAATGGCTTTTCGCAACGGTGTGGAAAGCTTACTCTTGGTTTTCTTCAAGGTGACGCCATCTTCTATCGCTTTCCTGACCGGAGTTTGTAGCTTCTTTTTTGTCTCTCTCAATTTCACGCCTTCCAAGATCTCCGTCCTGAGAGGAGTTGCCATCTTCTTTTTGGTCTGTCGAAGACTGGTCCCATTTTTAATTTCTTTCTTTAGGGGCGTGGCCATAGTCTTCTTCGTCTGATGCAATTTGATTCCCTCTTTTATCTCTTTCTTTAACGGTGTGCCCATCATCTTCTTGGTTTGTCGAAGGCTCGTCCCATTTTCAATTTCCTTCTTTAAGGGCGTGGCAAGCTTCTTTTTGGTTTCTCGAAGGGTTGTTCCAGTTTCAATTTCCTTTTTCAATGGTGTGCCCATCATCTTCTTAGTTTGTCGAAGGTTCGTCCCATTTTCAATTTCCTTCTTTAGGGGCGTTGCAAGCCTCTTTTTGGTTTCTCGAAGGTTTGTCCCATTTTCAATTTCCTTCTTTAAGGGCGTGGCAAGCTTCTTTTTGGTTTCTCGAAGGCTTGTTCCAGTTTCAATTTCTTTTTTCAATGGTGTGGCCATCCTCTTCTTCGTCTGTTGCAATGTGATTCCCTCTTTTATCTCTTTCTTCAACGGTGTCGCCATCTTCTTTTTGGTTTGTCGAAGGTTGGTCCCATTTTCAATGTCTTTCTTCAATGGTGTGGCCATCCTCTTTTTGGTCTCGTGTAATTTGACCCCCTCTTCAATTTCTTTTCGGAGAGGTGTTGTCATCTTTTTCTTAGTTTGTCGGAGATTGACTCCATTTGCGATCTCATTCTTCATGGGTGTGGCTATCTTCTTTGCCTTCTGTTGCTCAACCTCTTCTTTCAGGGCTTTTCCAAGTTTACTCTGCCCCGTCTCTTTTCCCTCTCCTCCTACTGGATCTTCTTCATCCGAAGTGTAATCATCACTGTCCAAAATAGTTTCATCGATGTCTTCATCGTCATTACTTGCAGTAGCGGCAGTCTCAGGCGCTATTGATCTTTGTACAGGGCTTTTTTGCGCGAGTCTCAATGACGATCGTCTTGCGTTTTTCGATTCCTCTGTCACAGTATCACTCGCTGTAGTGACTCTGCTGGTCTCAGTGAGCTCTAACTTCATTTCTCCCACCAGAGACGATGATCTCCTCCTGCTTTTAGGTTTAGTACTTTTGGGTGTAATTTGTTCTGACGACGGCTGACTTCTTTCAGGTGTGTCCCGAACAGACCCTGGTACCTTTTCCTGCACTGCAGTGCTTTCCTTACGAACAGACTCTGATTCATGGCTATCTTCCTCGGGACTAATGTGGTGTTCCTTTAGCGACTTTGCGTTCGAGTCTACATCCTCAGTCATAAAAAAGTCTTCAACACCTCCATCATCTTCTTTAATGCAATCAGTTTTTGGTACCGAGAGAACCGATCTTCTTCTCTTGGCAGAGGAAGCAGCTCTTTTAGGTGTAGAACCCCGTCTCACAGGAGTTGCTGGGGGTAGATCTTTGTCAAACTGTTCAGGACTAAGAACTGGTCCAAATGAGACCCGTTTAGAATTTCTTCTGGTCTCTTTTACAACCTCAACAGGCTTTACTACATTGACTTGTTCGGTACTTTCTTGGTGATTACTTTTGTCTTGAGGCTCAGCATTGACAAATATCGTGGACAGTGGTGGTTTATTTGATACTGGGGAACTCAAATTTTCATCCTCCTCTTGCAAAGGCATGGAGAACCTACGAAGCCGGTGGATGTTTTCCTTAAGACTTTCCCCTGCGGTGGGAGTTCGAGGGCTGCCCTTCAGTGCAACTGGCATTTTGGGAGACTGGCCCTCTGGGGGAGTTTTTACCAAAGAGACAGAGCGGCGGATCTTAGTCTGCAATGAGAGTGTTTTTCATGAGATTTCTACTAAAAAGGAAAAAAGCTTGGGTCTGTACCTTACGTTGATGAAAAATGGTTAAACGGGGAAAGTGGAAACTGAGAAAAAATACAACAACAACCACAGACAAGAAAGAAAAAAAAAGTCGAAAAAAAAATCATTTAAATATTTTCTCGACTATTCCTCGATGTTTCAATCAAACTCTCTATCACTTAGCATAATAGTTTACTTTTCAATGAACCTAGAGAAATTCCAGCCCTTTTCATTTTCTAACCAGTCAGAAGCTAGTTTTAATAGAAAACTTGCACACCCATTTTTAACCCTTAAACCCCCATGGTGACCAAGACAGAATTTCTCCTTACAGTATCAATACAATATCAAGCAGACAAGTGGTGAGGACAAAGGAATATATAAATTTGGGGATAATTAGTTGATCCAATACTGAATTCTCTGAACTAACATTGTAAGAACTGTATGGTTGACAGTAATGAGAGTAACAAATTTGATCTGGGTGTTAAAGGGTTAAGGCCACCTTTGAATATTGTATTTTTGGATATAACCCTGGGAAACAAAATTAAGCTCAAAATAGATTGGTTGACGAGGAAAACAGGAATTAAAATCAAAAACATATAGATCACCATTTAACTGTATACAGAATAATCAAAACTTTTTGAATTCATTCCTTTACAAAATATTATTTTAAAGTTCAAGATCAAAATGGTTGTTTTGGCTTGGAATAGGCACTATACAACAAATGCAGTCCATAAAAAGTCATTTTTGGTCTCAGAGTAATTTTCCTTTTTTAATTAACCAAGATTCCTTGACTCTGATCACTCTACAAAATTTTCTTGCATACATTGACACATAAATGACATGGCCTTTTGGTAGTAGATTATTTACTGTTGTCAATTGACATGAGACAAAAATATTTGAAGATTTGCCACAAAATTCTTAACCATAGTGACAGTGACTGAATAACATAAAATATATTCTGACTATTTTGAAGAGATCTCAACTCTGCTTTGCAAAATGACATTTTCCACCAGTTCACTGTTGCCCATCCAGAGTTCTAATCATTCTTGTCAAAGCTGCTTATTACAAGCCCTGGGCAATACAACCCTTTACACCCTTAGACCAGGATGAAAATTCTCTATACTCTTCTCTTTATTTTTCCTTTAGTACTGACATGGAGAATTTGTCTAACAATCAAAGCTTCTTAGGCTGGCAAATATTTCCTTTTCTCTCTCATGAACTTAATGAATGATTCAGCAGTATTAATT